AAGCACCCCACGCTTCAATTTTTTTTTTAATTGTTGAATTGTCATCGGTCCTTAATAAGTATGCCAAATTTCGGGTTAATTCGACGTTTTGAAGGGGGTCAAAATCATGTTCAAAGATTCCGTTACATTCTAACATACATACGTCTAATAAAAGCGTATTAAAAATACTTGTATTACTTAATCTAAAACTTGACCAGAGGCTATCCACGATATGTATATAGTGTTCCAGTATTTGGTCATATAACAAGAAAGCCCTCTGACAACCTGGAGAGACTCATAATGACGGGTAAAGTGGACGGAAGATGATCCAGAGGTCGGAGCCAAAAAAGATGGGGGGATCAAGTGTCCGAGCACCTGGACACGAGACTGGGCCACGCACTTCACTGACATAAGTCGCGTTAGCGTGACATAAGCTACAGATCACAAGAGAAGCTCTGAGGCGGGCGCATTACAATACTCTTTTTTTTATTGCTTAGATGGGTGGACGAGCTCACAGCCCACCTGGTGTTAAGTGGTTGCTGGATCCCATAGACATCTACGACGTAAACGCCCCACCCACCTTGGAATATAAGTTCTAAGGTCTCAAGTTTAGTTACAACGGCTGCCCCACCCTTCAAACTGAAACGCATCACTGCTTCATGGCAGAAATAGGCAGGGTGGTGGTACCTACCCGCGCGGACTCACAAGAGGTCCTACCACCAGTAAAAAGTCTTTTCTTGATGAAAAAGACATATAAAGATTTACGACGACAATGATGGCAACCGGGCCGTGTGGAATTAGGAATAGGACTGACTGGATAGGGAGGTGATTGTTCTCTGATAAAGTATCATAAGTGCTGATGCTATTCGGGAAAGGTGATGATGAAAGCAAAGCTAGGAATCAGAGGGTATCATAACAGATCGATTGGAGGGAGAGGAAGATTGTTTAATCCCGCATTAATTTTTATTTTATTATTTCTGGCGTATCGAATTCTTTATAGTTCTCATGGTCGTAGATTACCAGGGTGTTTGTTATTTGTCGACATTTCGGCTTGTTCGACCACGACGGAACAACGCGAAGCCGCCGTCGCCCGAAATATGTCTTGTCGGATCCCCCGGATTCACTCTCGGTGCTTTTAGGACCCTCAAGTACCGGTTGTAGTGGACTGTATTATTAGGATGGGCAAGGAACTTGATAAATAAACTCGCGAGGATTGCACGTATAAAATTTGTATATTTTTACAATTTTATAAATCGCGTACAATAGCACGGAAAAAACAATTACAAAACTAAGACATTTCCAAATGCAAAATTCAAATGTAATGTCAAAAACCACAACGACAACAATAAAAAAGGTTTTATACCATTTTGTTGGGTTTCCAACACCGGTCACTGTCCCCATCGAACCCATCGATTACGACGAAGTGGCATAACAGAAAATAAACTTCTACATTTGTAAGACTCATTTTGTAATTAAAAGTAAGATATGTTTTATATTTTAAGCATTTAATGAGTTTTTTTTTGTGGCTATATTATTGGATGATAATTGGTTATTGAATGTGTATATTTTTTACGAATCATTGTACGTTGAAGTTATACTTTCTTTATTCATAAGAAGTGTTTTTAACTATATAACCACCATGGTATACGTGAAAAAAAATGCAGTCAAGTAATCCGTGACTCCCGAAAATAATATAAAAAAAAATATATATATACTGGAACTTATTAGAATATGATTTCGGGATATAATTTTATTACTATCACTCGTAAAATCACAATTACCTACAACGTAAGCAATTACATACCTCCTCGATGTTTCAAAACGTTTAGGAGCATATTTCTAATTATATTCGCCACTTAACTCGAAGACAAGACTCGAGAAGTTTCTACAATCATATCAAACTGTTTTTTTAATGCTACTAACGCCATCTGTTTGTTGGTTTTCACAGACAAGTCTTAAACAGTTTAAATGCTCAATGCATCCACGGATTCTATAAAGGTTTAGAATTTAGAAAAATAAACAGTAAAGTAAATAGGTACTGGTGATTACTGATAAATTTTGAATACTAATGATTTTTGTTTTTAATTATCAAGCATTAATTTAGAATAATTCGATGGAATTCAAATTCAGCTTATTTGAACCATAGAAAGTACAAAAAGGCCTCGGTTTAAATTACACGATGCTATTCCTTCTTCGAGCAAATTGTTCATTCATGATTAAATTTTGAATTGCCGCCAAAATAATAGAAAAAGGCAAGAAAGAAACGTTATTCTCCAAACCAGTAACAGAAAATAAACTTCTACTTATGTAAGACTCATTTTGTAATTAAAAGTAAGATATGTTTTATATTTTATGCATTTAATGAGTTTTTTTTTATTTGAGTGGCTATATTATTGCATGATTATTGAATGTGTATATTTTTTACGAAATTTATATGTTGAAGTTAAACTTTATTCATAAGAAGTGTTTCTATTTATATATGACCACCACTGTATATGAGAGTGTCAGGAACCGGTAGGACCGTTCACATTAACTCTTCTAAAATTAAAAACTTTTTAATAAAACAAAAAATTTTAGCGAAAATTTAGATACATTGGTCGTCGCTAGCCACTTTTGTGAACTGATTCACTTGTCTACTTCGACTTTAAGACAATCCCGTACGGGTCTCTGATACGTTTCCATGTCCTCCATCTTGGGTTCCACGGATCCAAGTCTTCCGCACTGAGTCAACTGACCCATTACTGCTGACGTGAGCACCGGTGGCAAATCACCATCTGATGAACTGCTTCCAGCTTAAGTAATGGATAATCAATAAAACAAAAATTATACATACATATCCAATCATTATATTATTTTTTAAATTATCACAATATTTACAAAATATAATAATACTAATCTATACATAGATTAGTTTTTTTGTTGACATTTTTTTAAAATAAACAGCAAAAACAAACGTAAAGGCTTACGCTAATTATTCCATCATTAAATTTAAACTTATTTCATTTAACCTATAATATAAAAAAAAATTAAATTAATATTTTATTTTAACTTTACAGAAATTAAATGACGATTGAAATTCATTTCATTTTTCTCTTCAAAGCTTTTAAATGCTTTAAAACAAATTGAAATTATAACTTAGTGTCCTGGCCTAGGTTGTAATAAGGAAAATAAACTACTTACACCAAGAAACGGAATTACATATAACACAACCTTACGCGACTGGTGTTTGTTTGTGTTAAAAGTTATTTAGATATTACTTGCAGCGGCAGTGTCGATGCAACCATAAGAATACAGTAGTTCTTTATAAACAGCTTTGTTCGTTTATAAATATATAAAAATATTATATCTATATTGACTATGTAGTAACCAATCCGTATATAAATAGGTAAAAACGAAGATAATTAAATATTATTTTCTCTGCATTTTGTCAATGGATATTCTTTCTTTTTTGTTCGGTAACTATTGACAAGCTTCAGCCTGTGTTACCAGTACAAAAAAATCGAAACTGCTTTATTTTCCCACCTTTACAAGAAAAATATCAAAACTCTTGGGCAAATACTATTAATAAATAAATAGGCTGTGTAAGGCAATTATTAACCGAAATGGAGCAGAAGACAGGCTAATAAAAATCACAAACAAATTTCTACTTCACAGCACGCAATGTAACTTAAAAAAACAAGTGCCGCGCAAGTTCAATGACCCTCGAGTAGAGGTGGATATTACATTGCGTTTAGATATGACTATTAAAAAAATATTTTGACTTAAAGTAAATGAAAATTGTCGATTGATGTTAATACCTCGCTACCGGTCCGGGTTCGAGTATTGTTCTCGGCTTTCCTGCGCGGCGACCTGCATGCTTACCTACCTAGATTAGGGATGCTCAATATTCATCGATGTCAAAAAATATCGATGTCATGTTTAGCTAAAAAACATCGATGTTTTTGTTTCGATAACATCGACACAACGATGTCGTGACTAAAAAATATCGAATTATCGAATAGTCCATATATCTTTTAGGGCCATCTAACGGTGGATGTACTTTCTAGCTAGTGACTCCCTAGATGACACTGATTAACGTACTCGGTGTAAGCCGTACTACATAAATGTGTGTAAAATTAAGAAAATGTAAATTGTGAAGTGTGATGTCGGAGTCAAGCCCAATAATTGAACGCCCGCTTTTAATCCGTAAAACGTAGTTTTAATTAATAATAAACACGTATAATAAATAAAATAGACAGTTTAATTTCCTACCAAAAACATCGATGCTCTTAGACATCGATGTTTATCGTACATCGATACTTTTTTAATCGATGTTAACATCGATTTTTTTTCTAATATCGACCATCCTTAACCTAGATGCTTGAGGCTCTTCGATTTAATACAAAGTATGTAAACACTCACATTCTATTTCGTCTATTGTAATAAGAATGTCAAGAAGTAAACGTGCAAAAGAAATTCTTATATTTCTATATAAATTATTGATTATTGTTTTTAGAAAAATATATCCTATCGTCCGTTTAAATTTTTTAGCTTTATTTCTATAAGCGAGCGGTGGCGGCGTAAAATTACCGCTCAGTGCCATAAGTGGGCAGACGAGCCCACATAGCGTTAAGTGATTGCCGGTTACCATTGCATTGCACAAGACACTTTTTAGTTTTTATTTTTTGTTACTACTATTTTCCCGTCGATACAACGCTGCAGGCCTTTGCATAACGAAGTTTGTGTGTCAAGATTCGAGCTCATATGTACTATGGGGTTCAATTACACATGATAAAATACATTTTTGTAATTGTATAATTTCATTCACCAATAGTGCTGAAGAAGTGCAACTTCCCTGTTGTCTATATATATATACATATATATGTGTACAATTATTAGTAGTACTAACGTTAATTGGTGCGGGACGACCTCCAGTGAACTGTATGATTAGTGCGAGTTTCTTAACGTTCTCGATAGCGTAAAAGTTAACGCAATTTTGTATGCAGTTGGAACAGCGCCCCTAGCGGCAAACGTACGCAAACGATCCCATTCCATACAAATACGAGCTAACTTTTACGCTATCGAGAACGTTAACTCGCACTAAGCACACTGTTCTTGTTTAATCCCTTCAATTATATTTTAGAGTAATCTATCTGTGAAGTGTGGCCCTCCACCGCCGCCACCGCCCTTGGCTGATGTAATATTGCGTGTAAAACTTTCTAAATATTTAAGGCAATTCCGATTTCGTATGTCGACATTGAAGTACGCGACTAGGATCGCGCGTCTTTACAAAAATATATATTTGCACAATCACACAATTTATAATCACAATTTTTATTCAGAATGTTTTAATTTTATTATCGTTCGTCGTGTGGCGTGTTTGCTGAGTTCCCAGTGAGAGGAGCGGGTCGTGCTGTGATCCTCGTGTCGATGATGTCCGCGGGCAACGTTGACCGCTGACCTACCATTGACTATGGGCTTAGCTCGTTATTAAGACTATAGACGTCCATTAGTCACATAAATGAATATGTATAATGTACACACGTCGCATAGGTTCCCAGTACAGAGGGCGCTGGTGACGTCAGCCGGGGTACCCCCGGGATGGGAACTCATGACTCGGGTTATGCGAGTACTTAACTGAGCTATTGTATTATAGTAGACTAGTTTATCGTCCGAGACGTGCCCCCCGCGCCGCCACATACTGAATATGATGACAGCAGTCCATGGGCATCAGCTGTGCCGGTCTCGACCGTTTCTGCGGCGAGTGCGGATGAGATTAGTATCAACAGTAGCGTGCGCACGTGCGGCGCGGGGGCCGCACCAACGGCATCTAGTGCTGCTATTTCAGAGTATTCATCTCTTTGAGAGTGTGGTAAGCTTCATTGTATCGTGTCGATACGAACGGTTTGATGAAGGCGCCGACGTGGGCGCGTCACTCCTTGTACATGCAAGTGACGATGTAGAAGGGCGGGCGGTCCCTCATGGCCATGCGGCCGAGGTACTTGGTGAAGGAGGCGGCGCCGGCGTCGCAGTACACGAGGTTGAGCGCGTTGTTGGCCGGCGGCAGCGACACCAGCGCGCCGGGCTCCGCGCCGCCCGCCTCCTCGGGCGCCAGGTAGTGCGTGGGGGCGCAGCCCCGGGCCGGCGCGCCCACGTACAGCACGGCCTCCAGGCGCGCCTGCTGGTACTGCTCGCGGGGCGGCAGCAGCTGCGGCAGAGACAGTCCGTTAGCGCAGCCCTACGCAGACTCGCGGGCGGAGACTTCGGCGCGACTCACGGTGAAGCAGCCGGCCGTCCACTGCTGCACCTCCAGCTTCTCGCAGGTGGCCAGCCCCAGGTCCGTGCAGTCCGTGAGCAACCTGAAGAACACGTTGCTGGTGATCAGCTGGACCAGCTCCCGGATGGGGTGCTGCTTGTCCTGCGCTTGCAGCCAGTCGGGGGGCACGCGCGAGTAGCGGCGCAGGTTGGACGGGCCGCACGGCTCCCACGGCACGCCTGGCGACATGAGAGAGCGATAGATATAGGTAGGTAGGGGTAGGGAGGGCGGCGGGTGGCGCGGCGCCGTGCTGCTCACCCGGGTCGCGCAGCGCCTCCAGCAGCTGCCGGTACTTGTGGTCCAGCAGCAGCGCGTGCAGACACACCTCGCTCTCCCGCTCCATCTGCGCCTGCACCTGCGCGCGGCTGCGGGCCGACAGGTAGCTGCCCTCCACCCACTGGTTCAATAGCACCTGCACAAACACCAATGAGTACGTTTGTTGAGAAGCACTCACCGCCTGCATCTGTACAGTTGCCTCCTTAACTTTCATTCAAGGACATATAACAATTGCGTTGAGAATTAAATTAATAAAATAGAAAAATTACTGTGCTACGATCAGGCTTCTGATTGTTTTAAACTAAACCGACAGTTTTTGAGAACAGGCGTGCAGATAAATGTACACATAATAATGCGTCCTATCAAGTTTTAATTTATACGTTTTGTTAACTTACGACTTCCGAATGCGGGGGTGTGGGGGGCAGGTAGGGCGGCGCGGGGGCGGGCGGCGCGGCGGGGGGCGGGGGGCCCGGCTCCGGTCCGTGGAACCAGCCGTTGATGGACAGGCGGGGCAACTCCAACGACAGGACCTCGCTTACCTGGGGGCACGCGCATCGGTACAGGAGGGCGGCTACATCACAGTTGCACCGTCTGCCAGACAACAGGTGCACGCTCGCGGTCTCCGTCGAGCGACTACCGAGCCGCAGACTTACATCACAGACATCAAAATTTACTTTGTATTACATTATTAATTCCCACATTAGGCGTATATTTGTTATTTCGCAAACAAATGAGCCTAACGGCTAAAGTCAATTTTCCCTGACTTCAAACCGTCTTACTACCTACCTACCTCACTAACTTGGAATTTTTCAGACATGCCAAGCAACAATGACAAAACATTAATTTCTTGCTTCCACTTAATGTCCTGACAGGAACCACCAGCGTTAGGTAATTATTATTTTGATGACTAATTCACCTTGCTACTGGAACATGTTTTTATTAGATTTGAAACTGTATGTATTTATTATTACATATTATGAATTTCATGAAAAAGCTAATATGAAATGGCAATTTTGGCATTATATCAACAACTTTAAATAAACAACGCTTACTTGGTGGTATGAATCAACACCGACTTTGAAGAATGCTAACATATTGTTCTTAGGGTATATTCGATGCACCACCTCTGTAGGCCGACCTTCCTCATCCTTAGCGAAGAGTTCTAGGGCTCCACCCATTTCTTCTTTCCAGCCTCCACACTGATCATCAACCTGTAGATAAAGCCAATAATCCAAATCATAATAATATGTTAATATAAGTTTGTCTAATGAACTTTTGTTCCGATATTCTGTATATATTTACAATAGTTAAATTTTTTTTCAGTTTAAGCCCTTTTTACCACGTTTTATTCTCTCATGCCACAGCAAAGCCAGACCAGGCTGAGTTAATCTATTATCTAAAAGAACAGGTCTAATACATAAAGACTCTACAGAATGGGTCTGACATGTTAGTACATGTTTGAAGCTTCTGGGTATTACGCAGATTCTGCCTCGTTTGCACCACTTAGTACATGAGAAGAGTACTGAGAAATCATTTACCATGAATCTGTATTCCTGTTTATACCACATTCTTGAACAAATTCTCCTACAAGGTATCTTCTGAGCGCTATGACTGTAAGCTTTCTGTCTGTAATACAAGCACCTGCGCACATGCAATGGCGACCATGACCAGGTGGAGATATGCTGGTCCGTGTTCAAGGGCAATAGAAAAATGCAGACCGCTTAATGAGGTACACTACCTGTATATTATGATCCCCTCCTCCATTCTCAACTGCTTGCCGTGGCAGTGTCCAGGGCGCAAGATAGAAGATGAAAGCCACTCTTCGATCTCCAAGCAAGTCGTCGTGAACGAGCAAATGATCCCCCGGACCGTAAAGTGAACATGATGCTGATACTGACATCAGCTCTAAGCCTGTTACCTTTGATACCTGAAATTTTATGTAATATATACTTTATTTATATTCAGATGGAAAACCAGGTATGGTGAAATTTCACCACACATAATTAGTGTGAGAGAACATTAAATGTAGATGAACCTGATAATACAAAATGTAAGATAACAAAATATTCCGTTTGTTCAGTTATATTCAACTCAATATGTATTGATTTAAAAAAGGGTAAAAACCCACAACATCCAAGCTCTCTACTAAAGCTGATTTTATTTTGGATTTCAGTATATATAGTTTCTGAACACTTATTATTTATTGTTTTTGTATTTAGCATGTTGTAAGCCCGCACAGGTTACCTTTCTGCCTATTATCGCCTGAGAATTTATTTCTGGTTACAGGCTGCAATACAACAGCTGTTAGATAAGACAATTACTTTGTAATGTCTATGAACTCCAATAACCACTTAACACCAGCCACAAATGGAAACTTACAAATTTTAATACAATTAAAGGCAAATAATTTAATCTATAATTAGAAAAACTGGTCTTTTATAGATTAACAATTAAAAATACTAGTTATTAAGTTACTGTAGTAAATAATATAGACTTGTTGCTTTTTTAATTATGATTTTGGTATTATGGTTAAATTGGTTTTTTATGTCTTATAGCCAGTTAAGATGGTGTATAACTTACTTGAGTTAGTACTATCATCATGGACTTCTACATTTTGAAGCAAGCCAATAAATACCAAATCCTTCAGTACAAACATCTAAAATAATTTGTATATGAAACTTATTAGACCAAAGTTATAAAATTAATCATACAAACCCAATTCATAACATCAGTCTTCAGTAGATCATATATCCCTCGAATACTCCTCTGCCAGCTTAAGCTAGCCAGGTCTGTAGTCTGGTGGAACTCATACAAATCCATCTTTTTCCTTGTCCAATCTAATGTGTTTATATCATCCACAATATTATTTATAATGTCAGGATTCATCAGAAATTTGTGTATCTGACACAATCTAAATGGGTTACATGTGATTGTCACATTTGAGCTTGTGTGATTCTTCAACTCTTTCCAATTTGTCGATAACTCATCTATAATTTCTTGAGACTGAAATTTTTTTAAATTTTATAATAACCTAAATGTAGCTGTCACACAAGAAATCAAACAAAAATCTGCTTGCACAGTTCATATTTACAAGTTTTTGATGATTATATGCCAGCTTTAATTGACATTTCAGCCATCAGTCAACCGAACATAAATATCTACCCAGTACAAGATCTTTATAGTTCCCTACAAACTGGTGACCCCTGTGTGATTAGAAAATACAATTTTTCAATATTCCCTGTATAATTAAATTAATATTACTTTTAAGTACACAAGTTTACCTGTGTTATATTAATTTCAAAATTAATATTGAATAGTTTATTACGCATTGAAAAAAAATTTATCAGGTGTGATTTGGAACATTTATCTTTGTAATTAAAGGTCCATTTTATTTGATATTAGTAACAACAATTCGATATTTCTGAATTGAAATTCATTGAACTTCAATTAAGTACTTCAATTAAATTAAATTGAACTCCAATTAAGTTTACCCCATTCAAATAGTTTGTTATGATTTTTTTTTTCCTAATTTTAAGCTTTAAATGGCTCTCCTATAATGTTGCAGAAATGTTGCTTAAGCCAAATAACCTTTCATCCCTCAATATATATAATTAATATATAGCTTAAAAACTTTCCAAAAAGCTACTAAAAAAATTACTTATGTTTTATGAATTATGTTATATGAGTCGACTATTATCAAAGCCGGCAATGTGACTTTTAGACAGTTATTGGTAAATCAGAAAAACGAATTATTGACTTTGTATTCCATTGGCAGTCACAAAACTCTTCTGAACGACATCTTAGATAAATAACAGGTTAAGTATTAACATTTATTTAATGCAGGTTTTGAACCGTATTCTTTGAAGGAGACGATTATATTCAAATCAATCTGTATTGACATATCAATAACATTTTTTTGTCCAAATGCACAGATTGCCACCTTTGATAATAGACGACTCATATACAACACCATATTCTAATGTGCTAATTAACTTAATAATATTGAATATAAGTTTAAACACTGATTAGCTGGGGTGGGGAAAATCCATGATTTAAAACCAAGGATTCAATTGCTCCTTTCCTTTTACTTAAGCTATTGGCAAGCACCACCAGTACTAACACTTGTCTGACAAAAGATGACAATTCAGTTTGTCTACTTACTGTAATTAAAGTATTAAATTTGGGATCTTCCATTCTATTTGCTCTAGGGTTACGTTGTAGTTGCATTGATTTACTTATGATCTTGTCCTCCAAGACAATCGAGTCATCTTCACACTCAGAGTCCGAACTATAGTCAGATGACGATGATGATGATGAAGAATAATCTAAGAAAATATAAGCCTGATTTAATAATTTAAAGTTATTGTTTGGCTAGTGATATTTTAAAATATTGTCTCTACTACGATTATGTACTATTAAGTAAATAAATTTGAGCAATTACTACGTTTGAAAACATTGAAGGAATAAATGAAAACTACATTTAAATTTCGCGCCATATTAACAAGGCACAATGTCTCACACAAACCAGCAAGTAACCCACCTCCGCGTATTCTTTTAACTTCATCAGCAGATGCTTGATATGAATTCACAGCACAAACATCAGAGTCGTCACTTTCAGTATCAGATATCTCAATAACTGTGCTAGAAAGACGCCGCTTGGCGGGTGGACGTACATCGTCCGTAGTCGAGTTTTCGACCTCACTCTTGGTCGCAGCATTGTCTTCAGGAGTCGTGCTCGATGGTTCCTCGGCATCATTGATAGCCGAACTCATTTTTATAAAACAATACTCTACATAATACACGACAAAACAGAAACGTTCGAAAAACCAAAACGAGACGCCTAACCTCAAAATATTGTTGACGTCTTGCTGCTTATTTTGGCAAAGACTGAATAATTAGACTGCCAGTTTCAAGTATCAATCTATTTTCTTTTGGTTTATACCTACTTTTTTAAATTACATATTGTCATACTCATAAAAAAACGTATTATAATTGTCATTATTAGTAATGATAATGTATCTTTAAAAAATATTACAAAATAATTATTTAAAATTACATCGTGCATGTTGACATTGAATCAAATATGGGGTGCAAACCCTATACAGTTTATGTTGAAATCAATTAACAATGCAATAAACAAGTTTTACTCTTAGTAATTAGAGTTAAATTTCAAATATATAAAATCTTATCGTTTTACGCGTAGCGTACCAGAGTAGAAATTGTTGTTATTCCCAGATCGCAGCCACCAATTTAGGACAGTGGATCCGAAACTGGCGCATCGACATCAACCCATGAAAAGCACAGCCGTGCTCTTTGAAAGGGGTTGTCCTCCCGACACCACTGCTAGTACCTCGTCACGATTTACGCGCAGTAACTCCATTCCCGCCATCAAAATCTTTCAGCCCATACCGTGGGCCTCGAAGGCCAGGTACCTAGGCGTCACCCTAGACAGAGGGATGACATTCCTCCATATTGTCCCCTCGTAACAAGGCGACACTCTACAAAACTTGCACACGTTCTGTCATGATCTATGCAATGTAGTGTTCACTCACGCGGCCCGCATGCACATAAACTCCCTCCAGGCCCTCCAATCCCGTTTCTGCAGGTTAGCCGTCGAAACCCCGTGATACGTGAGGAATGTTGACCTCCACGATGATCTAAATTTAGCGCAGAAACTTAATTTTTTTTTATTGCTTTGATGAGTGGACGAGCTCACAGCCCACCTGGTGTTAAGTGGTTACTGGAGCCCATAGACATCTACAACGTAAATGCGCCACCCACCTTGAGATATAAGTTCTAAGGTCTCATGTTTTAGTTACAACGGCTACCACACCCTTAAAACCGAAACGCATTACTGCTTCACGGCAGAAATAGGCAGGGCGGTGGTACCCACCCGCGCGGACTCACAAGAGGTCCTACCACCAGTAATTACGCAAATTATAATTTTGCGGGTTTGAATTTTATTACACGATGTTATTCCTTCACCGTGGAAGTCAATCGTGAACATTTGTTGAGTACGTATTTCATTAGAAAAATTGGTACCCGCCTGAGATTCGAACACCGGTTCATCGCTCAGCACGAATGCATCGGACGTCTTATCCGTTAGGCCACGACGACTTCAAAGTATCTTAGGGTTGTCAAAACGCTACTACGACAAAGCGACACGATAATCCTCCTAATGTGGCTGCCGCTAATTACTTATTCGACCCAGACGACGCGCGACGGGACAACGCAAAGCCGTCGTCGCCTGATGGCTCCTCTTCACAATCGGCCATGATGGGCCAACAAATGATCGTCCATCATCGCCGCTATGATCGGGGAACTCTCCACACAATCGTGAACGTTCATTTACTGACTGTCTACTGATATGTTAAGACGTCTAGATATCGATGATGGAAGTCATTTAGTTAATGTGCGCGAAAAAAGAATCGTGAAACCTTTTTTTTTTAAATCCCCTTTGTAGACAGATGATCATACGGCCCACCTCATGGTGAGTGGTTACCGTAGCCCATAGACTTCAACAACAACAACAAAACAAGGTCCACGCAACCATAGTTTTGTAGTCGACACAATTGACACACACTCGAGACAACTACATCCTGACTAATCGGCGATGGTGGGGACGCTAAGTTTCCTACTTCAGTGGGACGCTCACACAATCATGGGCCATCATTCCTTTGATCTACCGACACAACACCGATTGCGCACGATCATACGCGATGATGGCCGATCACACACATTTATGCCCTCTACACTATCGTGAGTTTCTATAATCGCCCATCATGGCCGATTGTGAAGAGGAGCCATGAAACATGTCTTGTCGGATCCCCCATTGCTCTCTCAGTGGTTTTAGGCCTCTCAAACACCGGTTAGGGTTACCGTCCTCATCGAACTCGTCGAATGTCGAAAAGAAAAATAAATAACGATTTAAAAAAAAAAATTGTTCCTTATTATTAATTAGAAGTGGGAGAAAATGATTGATAATTAACAAATACGTATTTCAGTAATAATTTTTTTTTTGTAAGGAACTTTTTTTTTAAGTCATTATTTGTATCAAAGATTTTAATTCAAATTTATAGTTTAACAATTACCACACTTGCAATGTTTATGTTCAAGCAGAAAAAAATATTAGTTAACCAGTACACAAATAATTGAAACATTGGGATAAAAAAAAAAACAGGCGGATTATTGTTCGTTTATTCATCCAGTAAGCCCCTGAATTTTTCATTTCTTAAATTTGATATTTAATATGTTAAAATAATTTTTATAATAAAGTGTCCCAAGTAGGCGTGGCTTACACAAGCCAGAGTACCCGTTTTCGGCCGTATTTTCATCCCTCTGGGAAAATTATAAGTATTGGTCCTACAGTTCCGGGAGTACGGACGTTTTTTTGGGTAATTTCCTTCTCTCTTTGAATCTTTTTTTTTTAATTTGAAATCATTTTATTAGTTTTTGAGATATTTGCAAAAAACTAAACCCCCCTTTTTTTAGTTAATTGTTAATAACTTTTGCAAATTTTGCATGCGGAACTTCATTTTTTTCAAAAATCATCTAGATGCCGGATGCCATTCCATAGATTATACACTATATTCCGAATCGAATGACACCTGAAATATAATTTTCGGAGACTCTGAAAAAAGTTGACCAAAAAGGCACTTGTTAACTAGACTAATGAATCTGTGCTACGTTGTAGGACGTCGATAACCTCAAATTGATTTTGAATTTTTTGTTGTATTTGTAAATAAAGTGCATATGTAAATCACTTTATATGATAACGTGTGAACCTTAAGTAGACGTAGACTGTAGATATACATATATCATTGAATTTAATTCAATTTCATCAAAATGTCCAATAATATACACTCTACTAAGGAATCAAACGGACCTCAATGCCAGTACTTTGTACTGAGGAAAAAACGGCTGTGCCGTATGACTGTGCGTCCTGGCAATCAGTACTGCGGTGAACATCAACCCCCACCTAATGATTGCTTGGTATTTTATTTATTTATTGATTAACTAAACATTTGTTGATTTTTTCCAGTTTGAAAGGTGTCTTCCCCTTTTTCATATTCAAACACTCATGTCAGAGTGCTTGTGGTTGCGCTGATGTGTCTAAATGTTTCTACAATAATCTAATCTCTAATAGGTGTTATATGTTTATAAATCAATCATCATTTTTATGTGCAAAGATACACTTTTTATGGGGTTCACAGCAAGCTCGTCTGGTAAACCTTTTACTAAAAATCTATGTCTTGGATTACATATAAAAATTACAAAATCCTAAAAAAAAAACGCAAATCAGTTAAATACATAATGTTTGCACATTGCAATTGTTTTTTCTTTCTTTCCAGTCTGACAAACGTATTGCATGTCCCAACGATCCTAAGCAGTAAGTAATGTTTCTAAATGCAGTGAGACACCATAAATATGACTTAAATAACAATATTTTAAAAATAAAATACACAAATCATTTAAATAAAAAATACCAAAACATAAAACTGTGAATCTAGAGAGCACGGTCTCTAATACCTACTTATTCTAAATAAAATTTGTATTTTGAATTCAATTCTACACCATTAAAATATTACAAGCTGGAGTATCTACTGCAAAATTACCTCTTGACCCACTATAGCCATTAAAATAAACTTTCTTTTTTTTACTGCTTAGATGGGTGGACAAGCTCACAGCTCACCTGGTGTTAAGTGGTTACTGGAGCCCATGGACATCTACAACGTAAATGCGCCACCCACCTTGAGATATAAGTTCTAAGGTCTCAGTATAGTTACAACGGCTGCCCACCCTTCAAACCGAAACGCATTACTGCTTCAGGGCAGAAATAGGCGGGGTGGTGGGACCACCATAAACCACACACAGAGGCACCTACATCCATGGCCTTCTGTACTTCATCAGTAATTTAGGGCTTTGCTTGATCCACGGTTTCATATAACGCATATATCTAAGTTGAGCACTGCAGTAAAAAAAAAAAAAAATTGTCACAGTTATTTCTATAGCTCTCAATTTTCAGCACATGCTACATTAGCAAATTGGAAAAGCATCTAACCATCTGTAATGCTAGACAACAAGACCAGCCGCCCTACATTGAATACAACATCAATACTCCGATAACAAATGCAGTTCCTCGAATTTTGCTCAGCGAGATCCCTGGTGATATAATCATTCAGGTCATAAATAAAGTTAATTCATTATATGACAGTGAGTGTTTTTGTTAATGCTATTTACATTTAAAGCTTTTTTATGTAATAATAATTTTATATTAATTTATATTCACATACAATGAGACTATTGCACAAAACTGCTCAGTTCATTACATGCGGTCATTGTAATGAAGTGCATGGAGATGAAATTCAACGGCGGATCCAGGGGGGGGTCATGGGGCTCATGACCCCCCCCCTGAGCTAGTTCCAGGACTTGAACTAACTTGGACTAATTGAAGAACATAATGATTTATTTATTATCTATTGTTATCAAAATTAAATTATCAGTTCTTAACTTGCCCACGACTATGTGACCCCCTCCTGGCGCCAAAGCTGGATCCGCCCTTGATGAAATTTATAGTGAGCTAACAATAGATCGTACATATATTAACAAACTAAGATTAGCCACACCATGATCTATCTGTTTGAATCGAAAAAGGCGTTTTTTTTTAAATCTTATTTAAATATTACACAAAAACATTGCTTAGAATAAACATTTTCATTTAATTAAAATACTTTAATAGTCCTTGGTATTGGCTAACATTTGAATAAATTGACATGTGCATATTTTTCTCTTTAATACTTTTGCACATTGTTAATTTTACTTGGTAATTGGGTGATTTGAAGAGTGGCACAACATATACAATAGTGGTGACATAGTCTTCATTGGATACACTAATTTGGGACAGAAATTAGAATAGTGGAGAACCATTTTGGCACTGAAATACGAAAAACCTGTTTTCCTGATCATAATAATAATAATAAATATTTACTAACAATCACACCACGTTAACTGGTCCCGTCATAAGTTCGTAAAGAACTTGTGTTACAGGTACCAGGTAACGGAAATAAATGTAAGATTTTTATTATACAAATACATATATATAAGATACATCCATAACGCTGGAAAAGAATTTATATTTATCATACAAATATCTCCCCTTGGCGGGATTCGAACCCGCGACCCCCTTGTGTAGTGACCATGTCACTTACCACTACACCAGACGGCCGTTTATATTGACTTACTATAATATATTGACTTCATAATTATTTTAATAAGAAAGAAAAAAAAAAATTAACTAAGTTTATAATTTTACAGAATTTATCAAATCGAACATAGTATCAATACCAGAGCGCGTTATCCATGCCGCTGTAGCACCAGAGTTCAATGAGACGGATCGGCAGGAGAGCTCCCGCCGACATTTGCGGCAAACATCTAGCTTGTTATGGCTCGTAGAAGAAGAGAACCTAGTGGATAATGAGACTTGCTATGTGGAACTTGGAGCTGGGAAAGGTATAATAAATAAATATTTATAAGTTAGACATATATATTATTATCTTCTTTGTCACCACCTTATCGCACTAGGTGGGGTCGGAACAGCGATTTTTTCTATTTCATGCTCTTCTATCAGCCGTCATCTCAACACTCACTCCTCTGTCTCTCATACCCATGTCTTTTTTGTTCGACCTCTTCCTCCTCTACCTTGCACTATCATTTCCATACATCTCCTAGTCATATGCATCTCCTCTCCACCCATCACATATCCATACCACGCTAACCATATATATTAAAATAATTGGTATCTTTAAAAATAATGCGGCTTTTTGTAATCCCATGTGGGTAGCTGCCACCATCCTGCCTGTTTCTGCTGTGAAGCAGTCATGCGGTCTGGCTTGAAGTCTCTGGGTTTTGATAACTACATAACACCAGATGGAGCATGAGGTCATTATGCCCTCTAGTGCAATTTTTTTTCCTACCTAAACTGATGGTCTTGAGAGATCATATCAGCGTCACCAGGCGACTAGGTGAGCTCATGGGGTTCAAGCCTGACATTGTTGCTAACACGAACCCTAGCGAGAGCCGTGCTCCGCAGAATCTACCACCGGATCGGAAACGCGACCTGTCTGTGGGTTAATTTACTCGTCGAGCCCTTCGGCGCAAGCGACGGGTTCGACGAGAACGATGACCGAGAGTGCAATAAAGATATGACGGGCAGGGCAGCTGTCGTTCTACGCGCACGCGGCGTGGTGCGCGGGCGCGGGGTCCAGCGTGCTGCTGGTGGACCGCGCCACGCTGCGGCACAAGCGCGACGGGCGGCTGCGGGGGCGGGGCGCCGCGCGGCTGCGGGCCGAGCTGGCGCACCTGGCGCTGCACCGCGTGCCGGCCGCCGCCACCGCGCGCCGCCTCGTGGGCCTGGCCAAGCACCTGTGCGGCGTGGCCACCGGTAACCGACCTCCTAGGGACCACTACGTTTTGCCCCCTCATTGTTTTAACTGTTACATATTTTGCCAACCCTCCCTGTAAATTGTCTACAGTTCGTGAGCAACGGTGAACAAAAATAAATTAAAACATAGAACTAGCTAACAGCTCACCAGACAAACTGAGGAACAATTCACCTGGTGGTAGTGGTGGTTAACCAATTTACTAGTGGTAGGACCTCTTGTGAATCCGCGCGGGTAGGTACCACCACCCTGCCTATTTCTGCCGTGAAGCAGTAATGCGTTTCGGTTTGAAGGGTGGGGCAGCCGTTGTAACTATACTGAGATCTTAGAACTTATATCTCAAGGTGGGTGGCGCATTTACGTTGTAGATGTCCATGGGCTCCAGTAACCACTTAACACCAGGTGGGCTGTGAGCTCGTCCGCTCATCTAAGCTATAAAAAAAAAAACCTCGAGACGTCAGTTTGACAGATGGCATGTTTTTTTTTTATTATTGCCCTTATAAGCAGACGAGCACACCGCCCACCTGATGGTGAATGGTTACCGTCGCCCATGGCTTCAGCAATGCCAGGGGCAGAGCCAAGCCGCTGCCTACCGTGTCAGACCGCGCCGATCACTGCCGCAGTATTCCCTTAAATACGGACCATTTGTCAGTTTGCTTACGGTGCACACGAGCGTCGCCTACTGCCATGTATATATACATGCATCAGTCTCAACTATCGTTGGCAGACTACGCGCTGCGGTGCATGACATCGGAGGGCGTGCTGGGGAAGACCAGAGGTGTGGTGATCGCGACTTGCTGCCACCACCGCTGTGAATACTCCGCTTATGTCGGCAACCGACACCTACTGGTGAGGCGAGACTGACCATTGACTAATAAACGAGTGGAGTAGCTAATATTACTATAAAATATAATAAATCCGACTAACAGCAACATTTTCAAAATATACTTGCACATAAACAAGTCAATCCAGTAAATGTTCATGCAGTTTAATAATGACGTTGTGATAGTACATTCCCATTTATAATCTTTACTGATGATAGGACGTCTTGTGAGTCCGGACGGGTAGGTTCAAACACCCTGCCTATTTCTGCCGTGAAGCAGTAATGCGTTTCGGTTTGAAGGGTGGGGCAGCCGTTGTAACTATACTTGAGACTTTCGAACTTATATCTCAAGGTGGGTGGCGCATTTACGTTGTAGATGTCTATGAGCTCCAGTAATCACTTAACACCAGGTGGGCTGTGAGCTCGTCCACCCATCTAAGCGATAAAAAAAAGGTAGGTAGGTATGGAAATGTGGATTAAAATAATAATAACAATGAGTCCAAAGTCAAATGATGCATATGTTCCCAGGACATGGGTGTAACCGCCGAAGACCTGAACGCGATGCTCGGGCTGGTGTCCTGGGCCACGTGCGGGGACGGCCGCAACCGACTCCACCGACAGAACAAACCGGCCAGCGACGAGCACTTAGCGACGACCGAAACCGATCACTCCAACAGTGAAGTCGGTTGTGACAATAATCTACCGGACGAGGCGCCCCCCGAACAGCTCAAGCACAGCCTCAGTCGCGAGCAGAGAGAGCAGGTCGGCAGGAGAGCTAAGGCGCTGCTGGACTGGGGAAGGAAACTCTACTTAGAAGAAAAGGGCTTCAACGTGAAACTGTGTCACTACGTGCCCATCGGAGTGTCGCCGGAGAACGTCTGTATAGTCGCCACGAAAATGTGAACGTTTATTTAATAAATATATATATTCAGTTTTGCAAATTATTACCATGAGTTTAAACTTGTTGAATAATCCAACAACCTGTTTTATTCACTGGACAAGAGCTGACAGATTGATTGGTGTTAAACAGTTACCGAAGACTGCAACGCGAATGATGTCCACCTTTATTGAACTAGTTGTTCTGTTTTGGAGCCCATGGACATCGCAACCGCCACACGGGGTCGGAGTATCCTTTTATATAACTGTCCTACCCACCAAATCAGGTCATCCAATGGTATCTATCTGGGTGGACACATCAGTTAAAAAAATAATCGGTTTCTTTATCCCAACAACTGCCGCGTTGCACTGGCCAGCCGACGGGCTGGGCACGGTAACTAGACAATGGTCCAGCGAGTATCAAATGAACACAACACAATGTAAATATAATATTTATTATAATACACCTTTATGTTCATATAACTTCAATAGTAACGAAAACTGAAACTCTATTACGATACATACGGAGCGTTGGAATATATACACTTACAATAACATCTACAGATTAATTATATATTATAGTTTTTTACTTTGAACACTTATATAAATACAGTTGTTTGGGCTTTTCATACGCATAAGAGATAGAAAAACTAAAAAAAATATCTAATAAGTAATTACAATTGATCTTACAATTAACTGTGAAACAATATTGTTTTTTCAAACAATGCATGACGTCATAGGTGGGTTGTGCATAATCTATGGTTAGCTTGTGGATTATTTCGGCACCAAATGACGTCACACGTTTTGAATTGCGCTTACCTATCTTTTTAAGCTGAAAATTAAGTTGTAGCCGGTTAAAAAATTATAAGAATAATTTTCAACGATACATGACTCGGTATGTATGATGGGTGCACATTTTGGTTAACTTCGATTTAAATTTAAACTTTGACTTATTTAAATCAAGTCTTAACAAGCAGTCTGTGTATGACCGAACTTGTTTAGTCTAATAGCTTAATCTNTTGCGCTTAGCTATCTTTTTAAGCTGAAAATTAAGTTGTAGCCGGTTAAAAAATTATAAGAATAATTTTCAACGATACATGACTCGGTATGTATGATGGGTGCACATTTTGGTTAACTTCGATTTAAATTTAAACTTTGACTTATTTAAATCAAGTCTTAACAAGCAGTCTGTGTATGACCGAACTTGTTTAGTCTAATAGCTTAATCTCGTCATTATCATGTCTCTTATAGTTTACCTCAACTAATACGATAGAATTTGAACCTAAATAAATAATTTACTTGCAATTGTTATAAAATAAGCTTTAACAATGCGAATGCGAATTTATGCGTTTTTTTTTTTTAATAACCCGGTGTAAGAGAGCCGTACGTAAAGGTGTTAGTATGTTAACAATATTAGCTGAATCCGCAATGTAAAACGTACAAAACATTTTTGTAAGAAATTCAATATTTTCAAAGCTTTTTTTTAACAAGTAAAAGAACCCAGTGCATTCACAAATGTGGGTTCACAAAATTTGGAATTAAAAAAAAAACTGCGCTATTAGCAAATCGGTTAGGTTTCCCCAGTAAGATACTGTTAGTCAGTATTTTCGAGTTTCCCCCTCCCTGTAGGCGACAGCTTCGAAATAAAACAAGTTACAAAAGATAATTTATGCAATTTTTACGTATGCGACCACAATTAAACATCAGGTTGTGCGAGGTCAACGGCCTGAGGGAGCGCGGGGTGGTCATCAACTATCTTTACATTACATTGCGGGTTCACGAGGATGACATTGTTAAAACTTTTTTATTGACTTCAATAACAGAGGAGTGAGTTAAGGATATGTGATAATGGGTAGTCACCCATAGATATCAGCAATGACAGGCTCAAGGTACTGTATTACAGAGCCGGATGATACGGGACATGAAATATCTTTTGCAAACGCATTGTGGAAGAAAGCAATGGTTTCAGGGGTAAGAAACTACAATGCTAGGTGGTACGATGGTAGAAACGTGTAATATTTAGCTCAGTAAATAAATGTGGATTTAACTTTATTTTATTGTAGTAGTCCATTTTGGCTTAGAGAACGATTCTTACACATTGTAATGCCAACTGACTTTTTCAAGAGTTTTCACGTTAAGATTAAAAGCCACAAGGGCAGGGCTCTCTGAGAAGCTGAAGCTGTATTTGGAAAACAATATGTGACCAGTACGGAACCCGGGAGTTGGAAGCTTCTAATGACATTCACGAGCATCAACATGTGTTACCAGCTGCATATCGATGGTGACCGTGGTGTTGCTAGATTTTAACTTATTTTCACGCAGCTGTATCGCAGCGTCAAAATAAAAATACAAGTCAAAACATTAAAAATTATAAATTAAAAAAATAAATGCTTATTTTTTTAGACTGGCAAATTTAAACGCCCTTTTAACAGATAAACTATATTTATTCTTCACTTTATAAACGCAAACTATTAAAATAAAATACATAAAACTACACTATCCCTTTCTAGGTTATATCTTCATTCAATCCAATAAATAGATATCTTGTTATTATTTCTTATCATACTTAGGAATGATTTTTATAATTATTATTACAAAAAAAAATTGAAATAAAAAAATATGTAGAAATGTTTTAAAACACAACAGCTTCTATTTATTTCAAGACGAAGCGTCATTAGGGGCCGTGGTCATCATCAGCGTCGTTGCCATCGTCAAACAGACCATTTTATAATTTAAAAAAAAAGTTTGGCTAAAAGCAAATACTTTATTCCTAGTCTAGCGTTTCTTTGCGTAGCATATTGCAATTTACCACTCAAACTTTTTACTAATATCATTAGTGATGCACATTGGCGATTTTGAAGTGCCATAGTTTTCTGTAATCACATAGGCGATTATGCGATACCGAAATAATATGCGATCGAAAACAGTGACAAATTAACATCACTAAACTCAACTTATTTTTTACACTGGCAACACGGCTAACAAAGATGTGCTCGACCAGGTTATAGTTCCATCCTTTTTATTTGCACTAAATGAGAGAGAGAGAGAGAGACAGCGCGATCCAAAAAACAAAACTGTAAAATATTGATGTATAATGCATTATATTGTCGTCTAAGTTGTACACGATAGTCGCCAGGCCCCGGGTTCGAGTCCCGGACAGCTGCGCCTGTATCAGTAGCCGTACTTCTCCTGGATGGAGGACACGACGCCGTTGGCCAGCGACGACAGGCGGCCCGCCACGCGCGTCACGCCCGCGCGCACCGACTCGCGCACCTGCGGGGGGAGGGGGGACCGTCGGTAGAGACACTTAGAGTAACTTAATCAAGTCCGAAGCTCGCAACTTCGCGACGATATCACAAATCTAAAATTCAAATCATCAAGACTCGAAACATTCTTGCGAAAAAAAAAACACACTTTATTAATGGTGGTAGGACGTCTTGTAATTTTGCACTGAACCCAACTGTAATCGTGTAATTATAATAATAGTCGACTAATATTAAATGCGAAAAATGATACCAGACGATTTGAGTTCTTTCTTTCTGTTATAGTTTTCACAGGCCTCCCAGTACAATTAGACTCGTGTGTGTGTGTGTGTGTGGTGTATGTTTTTTTATATTGCTTAGATGGGCAGATGAGCTCACGACCCACCTGATGTTAGGTGGTCACCGGAGCCCATAGCCCATAGACATACATACAACGTAAATGCCGCCATCCACCTTGAGATATGAGTTCTGAGGGCTCAGTTTTACAATACAACGGCTGCCCCACCCTTCAAACCGAAACGCACTACTGCTTCACGGCAGAAGTAGGCAGGGTGGTGGCACCTATCCGCGCGGACTCACAAGATGTCCTATCACCAGTCCACAATCGGACATCATAAATATTGTTTGAGCGGAAGTAGCAGCATGCGAGACAAGGACAGCGCTATACTGCGTCAGGGGGAGTTGGGGGGGGGGCGGGGTACGTACGTCGTCGAGGTGCGGCGCCGACACGGAGAACGAGGGCGGGCGCTGCGGGGCGGAGTCCCCGAAGTACTCTGCGGACGAGATGCTGCTGCTGCCGCCGAACCTGGACGCCGTGCTGCCCGACGTCTCCCACGAACGATCCTGGATGCGCACACAAATCTAGTTGAATATATTTCGAGATCCCAAGGCGCAGTAGCGGAACACGCATTGCAGCTCTGAACCAATATAAGTTGAACAGGCCGTAGCCATCGTAACCAAACTTATTCTTTGCATAGACGGGTGAACAAGCTCGCAGCCCATCTGGTGTTACTGTCATCACTGTTTATTAACTGCAGACATAAGTGAATGCCGCCACCCACCTTGAGACATGAGGTCTACGTCGCAATTATGTAGTTGAACTTCTAACCGCGGCCGGCTCGCGACAACAAGCAGGGTGGTGATGCCCAAGTGCCGAGTGTGGGCCAAAGTGCTCGCAACGGGCGGCGCTGAGAGAGCTGATCTATCTGAATTTAAAACACAGATGATATTGAGGTCGCACCTGCTCTCCGAAGAACTGCGCGGAACTGATAGCTTTGGCCGACCCGAACTTGCGGACGGCGGAGTCATCTTCGGGCTCCGGCGCGTTTTTCTTGGCGCGGGGGCGGGGCGGGGCGGGCGCGGGGGGCCGCTCGTCCGCGAACATGGAGTGCACGGGCCGCGCCGGCTCCGGCTCGATGTGCTGCGCGCTCTCCAGCGAGAACTTGCGGTCCGGTCGGTCCGCCTCACCGAACATCCTGTCCAGGGCGCGGCTGTTGCTGAAGGGCTCGCTCCTGAACACGAGCACGATGGTGACTGAAGCATTATTCAACTTTGCGATGCACACACGTAACGAAAGCTTTAGGTCGGATTTATTTTATGAAAACTCTTTTTTTTTTAATCTTGAGAATCCACATTTAAACTATAAGGACTTATTGGCGGGAACGCGAGGAGTGCAGTGGTGTGATTTGTTTTATTTTATCTATTTAGTGTTTCTTCAGCTTAAATGTGTAATAATGGTGGTTTATTAACTGTTTAATATCTGTGAAAGTACACAAATGTGGGAAAATGAAACAAAGCCACTGGAAATATCTTCTCGGGATCCTCCAAAAAGTCCACTGAAAAAATCTCAGTAAATGACCACCATTTTACTGAGATTATATTTCATCCCATCTCATTTCAATTAATTTCATCCAAGTTGATTAATGTCTCAAATTAATCATCTTCATTTCATTTCATTTCACTGCATATTATCATTTTTCATCAAAATAAGATTATAAATTAAAATATGACATGACTTAAAGGTCTTAGTTACCAGGTCATAAAATCCCATAAAATAAAATCTAAACTGTAATCTAAATTGTTTTGGTGAGGTTTGTTGTGCGTTGGTTGAGTTGTCCTCCGGTAAAACCTCATTGTAGCGGTCAATAAAACACTACGTATATCCATGTCTATTCGCGTCATCGACCGCGGTGGATCGCTGCACGTTAACCACCGACTGACTAACGTATGTTGTAGATATGAGCATAACAGTGCTCTATGAAGTAATGCCATATGGCATGACATTCCGTACCGCGTAATATGGCATTAGAACAGTACTCAGTACCGTACTCTAAACATGTCCTGTCAAAAATATGCCTGTATTGTTTAATTTGTAAAGCCCGCTAACAATTACTATGTCTTACTGTACTGAATGGTCGGGTGTTACAAATTATAGACCTTTTATTATTACCAAGTAAACTCTATACAAGTTTACTTTAGATTTTTTTAAATGTATAAATAAAATTAATAAATATGTATTTACATTTTTAGTTACAACTTATAAATAGCAAATATATATTTATTTATTTTATTGCCTTTGTAGGCAGACGGGCATACGGCCCACCTGATGGTGAGTGGTTACCGTCGCCCATGGACTTCAGCAATGCCAGGGGCAGAGATAAGCCGCTGCCTACAAAACAAATTGCGACATTTTTTTAACGGACCTCTAGATATGAACCGACCTTTATTTAATATGTTCTGTCATTCTGTGGATATGAACATAGACTATACACTTAATATTTGATAGATATCAACGTCATGCTTAGTGTTATGTGACATGTTAAATTTTGCCGGGTTATAGGTACTGTTACAGTACGCGGTCGTGCTATATTACGCGTACTGCATGGCGCACAGTACTTACACATGTCTAGTATGTTGCTCATTAGTATAACTGCATAGTAAACTAAGCGGGGCGGGGTATCATTCCCCTACAGTTTCAACAAAATCAATATCCTTCTCAAGTATCCGGTCTGCTGATCACAAAACAGAGCGGCTCGCGTACCTGATCATGGTGAACGAGGAGGTGAAGTCGTCGATGTCGTCCAGGTGCGTGGGTGGCGCCGCGGACCCCTCCTGCTCGATGATGGTCATGTCCGACGCGGCCGAGTGGGACACGCCGCTGGGGGACGAACACAACATGTTTCAATGTGTTTTTTGGCGAATAAGGTGGTTTCCATAACGGCCACCCAGAGGCGGACTATCCGTAAAGCAAACTAGGCACGTGCCTAGGGGCGCGCGAGCTCAGAATTTTTAAATAAATAAAGAAAATAACATATCGACGATTAAGAACTAAATGCTGATCTATAATCTAAATCTATAATAGATTATATTGCAAAAGCACCGATATACTCGTATTATGCAATATTGCGGGTTTTTTTTGTGTTTCGCGCATTAGCGTAAATACAAGGGTCTTGGTCTACTAAAGCCTAGGGTTTGATGATACAACGTCATCGTAATTGCAAAAACAACTAGTTAAAATTTATAATATTATGATGGCCATTTATGGACGGTACAGGGGCGCCGATAAAGTGATTTCCTAGGGCGCTCTGGAACTCTGGACCTTTAATCCGCTACTGCGGCCACCTAATATTACTGTTACGCCGGTAAGATTAAACGCCATCTGTCGCCGAATAACAGAAACGAATATCGAAGGTACTAGAAAAATCGAGAAGCACAACGCCATCTATTGTCAGATAACACACATCGAAGCTACTCGACTTGCCCGGAATGTTCTCAATAAATCTAGGGATGTCGTATAGACTATGAAAGCGTTGCAGGAATGGCACGAAGTCAGTAATCCGATTTACTTGAAGCGAACTCGAAACTCTTCTTTAATTAGGATAATCTCAACAATACAAGACCATAGTCTTTACATAAGAAGACTAAGTGGAGTATATTTGTAATATGGAGTGTTTGTGTCTTGTATGAGTACCTATTTGACTGCAATTATTATTATTACTTACGATGTGTTCGCCCTGTTCGCTCCAGCTATACCCAGCCGCTCAGAGTTGGGCTTGTTGCTGGGCTCCCGGTACGCCAGTCGCAACGAGGCCACTTCTTGTTCCACGTTCTCCAGCGTGGCTCTCTGCTCCGAAGCCTTCGTCTCCATCTTGAGCTTCTCGGCCATGATAGCCTCGCGTTCGATGTCTTCAAAATTGGCTGAGACCTTCGTGGCTCCCAGGCCCTTACGTGCACCCAGCTGTGTGATAGTACGACAATTCTTCACTGCCGTGTTATAAGTAACAGGGACATACAAAAGAGACAAGGAGATGGAACATTCAGGCTCTGAATGCCAAGTACTCTTGAGACAAGAGGAGACTGCGGGATGGGTGGGGAGGGTCCTACGCTTCAGGTTCTAGTTGTCAGGACAACTAATTACTTGTGACCAATTCAACAACAGAAATGTCCCGCAGATCCATCTGCATTCCATTTAAAATAATAATATGAGCTTGAAGTAAGGACTCAGTAATGTAAGTCCTTACTCTATGTATTATATAGATANCCAAGTACTCTTGAGACAAGAGGAGACTGCGGGATGGGTGGGGAGGGTCCTACGCTTCAGGTTCTAGTTGTCAGGACAACTAATTACTTGTGACCAATTCAACAACAGAAATGTCCCGCAGATCCATCTGCATTCCATTTAAAATAATAATATGAGCTTGAAGTAAGGACTCAGTAATGTAAGTCCTTACTCTATGTATTATATAGATACGAGTATTAGATTAAAGTAAGGGTAATATAGGGTTAACATTTCCAAAAAAATATATGTCCAGGGGTGAAAGGCTATTTGGTTTAACCGACATTTTTGAAACTTTACAGGAGAGCCAATTAAAGTTGAAATTTTGGAAAAAAAAAATAAAATTTTTTCCTCTATTTCAGTGGAGTAAACTTAGTTGAAGTTCAATTAAAAACATCGGATTCTTGATGCTAATCTATACTAATATATAAATCTACAGTGGTTTTTACGGATGTTCCGTTATAACTACTGAACCGTGCGTCCGATTGACTTGAAACTTGGTATCCATATAGAAAATACATGTACTTAATGGATAGGCTAATATTTATATGAGTGTTGGACTACCTACACCAGTTGCGGGGGCGTTAGTGATGAGAATCTTTGTGGGGGTGAGAAATAATAATGTTAATTTTAAATGCCCAGCCAAGCGGACGGGTACAGCTAGTATCAGATAAAACGCACCTTTAGTTACAAAGATAAATGTCGCGTATTAAGTGAAATGTCGCTTAAACCAATTAGCCTTTCACACCTTCGTATGTACACCAAGACTACAAACCCCGGTTCGTTTGGCAGCAGGTTTCCTGCTCCCGATGGTTGACGGGCGAGGGGTGTCAGCGTTCGATCCCAGCGCTGGACCAGAGTCCCATAAACGAGCTTCTGAACTCAGGGGCTCCTGTTTATTGGCCTACAACCATAAGTCATTATTGCAGAAACCGGTTCGTAGACGACCGTCATACAGTGTGTCATAATTCAAGCGTCAAAACTTCTGTTGGCATAGGACCCAAAGCGCTAAACATGTATGTCGAGACCAGCTTTGACATGACAAGCGACCCTGACCTCTACAAGCTTTTACTTTAAATCCTTTACCCCCACAGTAGAAGGATACTTCAGCTCATTTCCCTAAGATATCCTAAGATATCCCTTTCCTCCCCCCTCAAATACTCTTTCTCTTTTTAATTACTAACTATCTCGAGTAGCAGAGCGTATTATAAAGCCCGCTCAGGTCGATATCGTCATAATGTCTATTCCTGTCGCAAATGAAACAAGCGAACCCAGTCTGAAAAGCGGGATAGACCTCATTCCATTACATCTGAGATTTCGAACACATACATCACTAAGCAGGCGGTTGTAATCAACGTATATGAACAACAAAAACCGCTTATGGTATCCTGAGTCGAGGGGGAGGGTGATAGGTGAGATGTGCTCCGCACTAAGCGCTCCACTTTCCCCCTTTCCCTTAGTTCTGTCTCATGCGAGGTTTGGATGTTGGTTGTTGAGCGACAGGAGGTTTTAGTCAGTTCGACTTCGACATGCTCCGCCCTCCATCCCCAGGGGAGGGCGGAGGTCGGGCGATTTCCTACTGACAAAAAAAAAATGGTTTCATGAGTTACGATTTTCTCTGCTCATTCCGTACACTAATGGATTTAATGTTCAAACTAAGACCCCTAACCTACAGCACAACTATTGCTCAATCATGACGTTGTCGGGTTTAGAGCGATGTGTCTGATCGAGTTTGTCATCGCTAGAGCACAAGCGCAGTTAACACTGTCTATTTATATGTACAATAGACATAGTGGCCATACAAAGCTGTAACGCTATTTATTTGAAATAAACGCACAAAGATAAATTAAAAAAAAACAACAAAACAATTTAACAAACACAAACAACACAAAAGCTCTGCAAGTTACGATGACTTTTCAAATTTCACTCGCGGACGTGATCAATATATCTGACATATTTCTTCATGGATATACCTAGTCAGGTCATAAATTCTGTCACATGTTTAATGTAAAATAATTGAAACAAGTTTATTCATTATGTAACCATTCATATACCAAAATGAACTTAACAAAACATAGATTCTCATGACACTAAAGTTTATTCAAAATGACCTCCGTGATTTTGAATACAGGCCTTCAATCTGCGCGGCCAGTCGTCTATCGCAGCACGAACGAGGTCCATGTCAATATCGGCAGCTGCCTTAATCAAGGATGTCTTGAGTGACTCCAAATTGGGATGAGGCTTTGAGCACGTCTTTTCCTCCAAGTGTTGCCATATCTTGTAATCTAACGGATTCAAATCTGGACTGGAGGAGGACCAGTCTTCGTGCCGGATGAAATCGATTTCACGCGCCGCCAGCCAGTCTTGTGTGCTCTTCGCTCTATGAGCTGGCGCCGAATCTTGTTGGAATATCCAGTGCCTGTTATTGAACATGGTATGAGAAACAGGTTCCACAAGGTTCGTCAGGACTGTATTTTGATACACAACTGCATTGGTTTTTACACCTTTCTCACAAAAATGTACCTCTGTTAAGCCCCAATAAGAAACTCCCAACCATACCATGAGCGAGGATGGAAAATGACCTCGTTGGACACGCGGAATACGGTTGCTCGCTTCTTCACTACTGTGTGCGTACACCTTATCATTTTGTTTGTTGTAGCTCTCTTCTACGGTAAAAATTTTTTCATCCGAAAAAAGAATTTCCCGATATTTTTTTCCCGCGTACCGCTTCAACAAAGCGCGGCATCTCTTCAGTCTCAGGTCCATTAGACGAGCATTCAAACGATGTCCTGTTTTTCTTCGATATGCCCGAAGCCCTAAGTCTTCATTTAACACCCTTTTCACCGTGGTTCTGCTTAACCCCATCTGAAGGGCCAACAGTTTCTGCTTACGTTTGGGATTTCTTTGAATTCGCGCCTTCACAGCTTTTATCACTGCTGGAGTCCTAACAGACCGAGGGCGACCACTTCTTGACCTGTCATCTACACTAGAGTCTTCATTGTATCGTTTGATGGTACGATAAACGAATCTTTTGGTTATATTCAAATTTTTCAGTATGTTAAAAATTTGAATTGGCGCGTAACCGCAACGATGCAACGCAATAACTGCAACACGGTCTTCTTTAAGCGTCCACTCCATATTTAAAAATGAGTAAAATTCTAAAAGTATACATTTTTATTTTCATGAACAATTCGAAATTCGAATTCAATAAACTTTTTTGTGGCCAGCATTCTAAAAGAAAAGTTTTTACTGTGTGACAATACTTATGACCTGACTAGTTATAAATGTAAAAACTTACTCACACGATGGAAACAATATTGACATTTTCGATTTAGTTAAATTATTTTCTATTAAAAAAACTAAATTAATTGCAAAATTTTCTAGAAAAAAAATGACATGAACAAGTGGAGTATTATAGAAATTAAAACCCCAATAGCAAGGATGAGCAATTATTATACTTGATAAAGAAAAAAATACTTTTTCATATTATTTTGATAAGTTATGATTACACGAAAACGAAAAACAAAAGGGATAGCATAACAAAATCACTCGCTAAATAATGTAGAGACAAAGCACAAACTATGTATACGGACAAATGGTTGGTTCCGTGTATAATGTGGTTTGTAAGCTTGTCAAGTGCCGAGGCAACGAAAGGTCGTTCGTTTTAAGGGATATTTTTCATTAAATTTCAGTCTTATTGAGGAATTCTATGACGTATTACAAAAATTAGTACAGTACTGTACCGCACTGGTGTCCTGTTTTTGCTTCGCAGCAATCACACATTACACTTATTCGCTGGTAACCTATAGGACTAGCTAAGCTCTGGCTGGAAGGTGAGCTCACGGCCTGAATCTGATAGAGTTTGCTAACACTAGCCCTAGAGAACAGTGCTTCGCTGAATCGATGACCAGATGGGAATCGCGACCCAATGTGAAGATCCGGCGAGAAACTCAGTGGGTTGTGTCTATATGCTGGTTCGTCGAAGAATAGGACGGCGAAAGGTCCGCGGACCGCATGAAGAGCCTAACATTCCACTCGGAAGTCCTTCTAACCTAGTTAATCTTTTTGTGGTGAAGCGGTAGCATTTATCTGACTATGAGTTCCAGTAATCGGTCTCTTCTTTTTTTTTTTTTTTGCTTTTTTTCTTTTTTATTGCCCTTGTAGGCAGACGAGCATACGGCCCACCTAATGGTGAGTGGTTACCGTCGCCCATAGACTTCAGCAATGCCAGGAGCAGAGCCAAGCCGCTGCCTACCGCAAAAGTTGGCCCTCGTGGTAGTCTATTTTTGACAACTATAAATTAATTGGTAGTTAAGGCATATTTGTTTTTACACATACTGTAAATATGCAGGTATATGATGAAAGAAATATATAATTCGGGGAGACAATTAAAACTGTGTAAAATCACTTTACACTTGTTACGTTTCCCTTCTATACTATCGAAAAATACGACACAAATTAAAATATTACTAGAGGTCCAGCAGTAGTCGAAATTCGATAATAATTAATTGGAATTGAAAGTTTGTACACTATTATGATTGTATTTTATACTTCTATAATCACAAATTTCGCCAAGACTACACTATAAAAAATATTAACAAAGGCAAACAATATTTAATCTATTCTCAATTTGACAACAGACGCCAAGAACAAAAGTTTCACAATAAATAGTATGCATGCGTGTGTGCGTCAAATACATGGTATGTAGTGTGTGTAATGTTTTCTTTATTGATTTAATATATCTTTTATGCATTATTTTAAATAAATATTAGCATTGTGCACTTCTTCTCTATATTCTCTATAAGTGTGGAAAATTTCATACTCCTACGTCCGCGCAATTTTTGTAAAAAGGGATACAAAGTTTTTGCTTCACGTATTAATAATATATAGATTTATCAGTGAAAAGATCATAATCTTCATGTGTCATAGCAGCAATATTAAAGAAATTTAGTCTTCTGCATACACACCAATGTTTCAAATTCGAAATTATTATTAAAATATCCCTTAAAAGAAATCGTTCCTTGACTGGCTGGGTCACGGCATTATACAATTATGCACATAACAAACCTTAAAGTGATTACTGACTATCTTGGCCAATCTAATATTAAAAATATCAAATCATACCTTTGTTTAGTTACAAATTATAAAATTTTGCCAAAGAAAGTTTGATCTGATTTTCATCATAAAATTACTTATAATGAGCCAATAATAATGATAACAATTGTGTATAATTTTTTTCATAGCACTAAATCGCTAAAAAAAATATCACATTAGAATGTTTGTATTATTTAAGATAAAGAGATATTATTATGGGTTGCACGCGTAACTGGAATCGGCTATTCATTACAAATCATTAAGACTACACTTATAACATTACTGGTGGTAGGACCTCTTGCGAGTCCGCGCGGGTAGGTACCACCGCCCTGCCTATTTCTGCCGTGAAGCAGTAATGCGTTTCGGTCTGAAGGGTGGGGCAGCCGTTGTAACTATACTGAGATCTTAGAACTTATATCTCAATGTGGGTGGCGCATTTATGTTGTAGATGTCTATGGGCTCCAGTAACCACTTAACACCAAGTAGGCTGTGAGCTCATCCACCCATCTAAGCAATAAAAAAAAACAACATTTTGTGGTCATTCAACACATATTAACCCGCATTACGTGTCATCTAAAACGCCGCAAATTTTTATCTGCTTATAGAATGAAAATCTGGTTCATTTTTCCAGTTTCGTTTACGTAATCAGTTAATGCGGGTAGTTTCAATATATTTTTCAAAATGATTCCTCAACTACCTAAAAATCCCTTGTATGATCTACTAAAAAACCTAATCCTAGATCTAGTAGGTTATTAAACTTCCTCTTGATGGGTATCATGGATTTTTTACAACAAATTATCCTATGAGTCTTTGTATGGAAGATACAGCAGCACTGCTATTCTACTATGAAACATTATATTTCAACTTCCTCTGAGGAAATAGCTTTTAGCTGAATAAATTATGTGGGAGTAAGAATTTTAACACATAGTTTTACTACCACTACTAGTATAAAATTTACTACCTAACATTTTGGAATCTATAAAAGTTTGTTAGGTGCATTTGTGTGCGTGTTACCTGGGAGGCATTTGCAAACTCGTTTGTGTTAGTGCTTGTCGACTTTCCGTGTTGTGAAAACCAATCTACCTCGGCCTCCTTATTCTCCTTGGGCTCCGGTGCTGTAGCTTCTATGTGTAACTGTAATAATTTAATTGAAATATTAGTGAACATGAATTCACGTCCATTTTATACAGTGTAGGATCAAGATTCTTATAAGAAAAACAGCTTCTTGGTATAGACTGTAGATGATGCAATCATTCCATAAACTCAAAAAATAGAGTTGAACTATTCACTTAAAAAATAATTCTTGGCAGACACCACTGTCTGTGAATGTTGAGCTCTCAAGTTGTCAAATAAAATTAAGGACAATTTAGTTAGGTTTGTTGTCAAATACTACTCTTATGGTTAACTTTTAAGTAGAACTGTTGTTTTTGTCACAAATCAGGGAAATGATGAATCTAGCATTTTGGTAATGTTAAACATGGGCAGAAGCATCTTCGAGTGGAGACCAAGTACTGGCAAATGCAGTGTGGGACGGCCACATACAAGATGGACCGACGACCTAATGAAAATTGCTAGCTCGCGTTGGATGCAGGTGTCAACGGACCAGCCATACTGGACATCCATTGGATAGGCCTATGTCCAGCAGTGTACCGGCAGAGATGAAGATGGGCACTTTCATTACATACGACGGTGACTACTCAAAACCAGACCCATGATAAGTTATATAATAATTTCATTATTCTTTACTAAGCTAAGTAAGGATGACATTAATGAATCTAGAACAGCATTATCTCAGCATAACCACTACATATTTTGCACTACTACACTATGATGTATTAAAAAAAAATCAATATGTTTAATATTACAAAAGTACACAATGTGAAACATTTCACAACACACTATCTTGTGCAATTATGTGCTGCGTTGTTGTATGATAATGAAACATTGTAAATATTTCTTATATTTAGGTTAAAATAGTGATAAGTTATTATTAATTCTAATTAAGTAATGATGGTGACTAATATATATAATATTATTATTATTATTCTAATTATAGATTGATATCTTTCAACAAAACTATACTTATAGTTAACAAAGTAAAATCCAAGATAACAATTTTGAGATAGGGACACTATTTCCTGATGTGTGTATATTATTTTTGTAGACACTACCCTTGCTGTGACTAATGTTAAATATGAACTAATCAATTTCTTTAAAAGCTAGTGTGTCACTGATCGGTATTATGCCACTTTGAAGTACTTACAACAATACAAGTTTCAACTCAAAGCAGATACACGGTGCATTGATTCATTAAACACAGTAAAATTAATCAATATTTGTGTCTATTCTATACCATTCTTATTTTAAATTCATGATTTTATCTTTGCATACCAAATGGCCAAATTCTAGTACCTTTTGAAGTCGTAATGGTCTAAAGGATAAGTAACTAAGTAATAAAAGAGAAAAAAATCTTGGCTTCACTGTAATAGACAACAATAACAGGGAAGACGAGATTGAAATATGTGCACAAAATACCCTTGATGTCAAGGAGCAAGTGCAGGGCAGAGTCAAATGGAGACAACTTGTGAGGGCTCTATGTACCAGTGGGATACCCCAGGACTTCAACAAGAAATTTTCTGGGGGAGAAAAGGCGCAGAGGCTCAGGAGGCTCAGGTATGTATGACAGATTGAGCAGTATCAGGCTGTGATATAGGTGTTCCTTAGTGTCCCGAACGGAGACCCAATACTGCTGGTTTGACACTGTGGAAAAGGATCTACGTAAGCTCCAAGTATCAGACTGACATGGTATTGCGTAGCAACTGATGAATGGCAGCGTTTATTGTCAGAAGCCAATATCTACTACGGGGTCACAGTGCCAGCTCTGTACTATTTGACTCCATACAGAAGAGAGCCATTTGGATTGTCAATAGTCTCATTCTCACAGATCGTTTAGAATCTCTGGGTCTACAGAGTAACTTCAGTTCACTCTGTATTTTGTACCGTAATTTGTGATTATGACTTTACACCATGTGGCCTATGAACTTGATCACCCATTTATGCAATAAAAAAAATTGTAGATGTTTACTTCTGGTTTCAAGATAAAAGTACATATTAAACTACAAGAACCTAAATAAGATCACAGCAGACACTTGTTACATTCGCATTGGGTACAACAAAGTCATGTGATAATAAATGTAAGCACTCAATTGTTAAATACAGAATATAGAAGTTATTATAAAAGATCTGAAGGACATCAAGCATCAGTTAATAATTGATACCCTTCTACTAACTAACCTTGGTCCCATGTGTTTTCATAGCCTGTTCAGAGAGTAAATTAAGTTTGTCACGATACATCTGTGCCACTCGTGAACTGTACTTCTGACGAGCATCCTCTGTCACCAGCCCGTGGGTGCGGAAGAATTGTATCTGTTAAAAAAGAATTTATGTAGAATCAATCGTTATTTTCTGTATCTTATTTAGTGATTATCACATAATAAAAAAAATTGATGTCTAATTGTAATTTTTTTTGTGTGTTGCGGATGTTTGTGATGAATTGATGAATGTGTGAATGTTTTTTTTATTTTATTTTCTGCATTTTCTTTAAAACACTTTGAAAACTTGTAATTATGAATTTCAATTTGTTATTGACTTTACAAGAACCTTACAGCATTTATGTTCCCGCCAAGTTGCATGTTTCTCAGCTGTTTCCATGTCCAATTAGTGTCCAGTTGAGTCGAACGAACGAAGGTGAGATGGACTCCCAAGCTTCGGTGCACCGCCGAGCAGTCGAGACATATGAATACACCGTACGTCACAGATGACCACGTAGGATTTTTGGCGTTGCAGTCGAAACATGCCTGAATATTTCAGTAAAATTGTACACAATAACATCAAAACAATAAATAAAAACACATTCTATAAGTTAAATATTAACGAATTATACACACTTTATTAGCAGGAATCGCTCGTAATCTTTGAAAAACTGCTTCAATATCGCTTTTACTCGGCCCAGAGTCAGCCATTTTCGAGATGTCACACGTTCACATTGACAAAACCCGTCAAGTGTCAACTGTTGTCAATTCAATGACAGTAACAAACCCAACGGCACTAAACTCTGCTAAAACGTAGAGTAGACCAGGTGCATTGGCATGCTCTGAGACTATCTTATGCATTAATCAATGTACGCATTACGATAATTTAATATGGAAATACGTTGACATACAACATCGAAGATATTCGAAAAAGCTACATTTATTTATTTATAACTTTATATACTAGACAGTATAAAGGCGGACTTAATGCCATAGGCATTCTTTAACAGTCTACCTTAGGGGAGTGCAGAGATGAAGCTTGGTAGGTGTAGTGTGAAGGTGATATTACATAAACATATGTGTATATATAACATACATAATGTTTATAGATACAAATACTCGTACTTAAATAAATACATAAACATAAATATATACATATAAAATATTATTAATTATATACATCTGTACTAGACTAAGTACGATACGTTAGTGAAGCGATAGTAGGAGAAAATACCACTGCCAAATGCTGAAGATACTTTTTCAAGCGAATGCAGACTAATTACATAAAGTAATACATTAATAAATAAAACAAAATAACTATAACGTCAGGATACCAAATAAAGCTTACTTTGACCGTTGATGTATATTGTGCGTTTGTATCGGACTGATTACTTCGAACGACCTGTCCAAAATTTTGATGCCGGAAGACGATCATTTTTGTTTTATAAGATTATATTATGTTCTTGTAGCGACGGTCATGCAATAATTTATTTACTTCCGAGTTTTATAGATGCACCCCAGCGACAGAGTTATATGTGCCCCAGCTTTTAGTTTTTCCTTAGCTTTTTTCATTTGATTAAATTAGTTAGCCTGTAGCTTACCTTAGTCTATGCCTGACGGTGTCGTCTGGATTGGACGCATGTTAAAATTTTTCCGAGTGATATTATCTTGTTGATAAACTTAAGCTAAAGCTAGAAGTGTTGAAAGAAACATTAATTAATTTCGATAATTAATATTTTCAAACTAAAATTGAGTTATGATCAATAGTGTTGTTTCCTTTGTTGTCCTTCAAAAGACGCTGTGAAATGGTTGGATCTCGGTCCTTGATGGTTTATGTCGACGTCCTCACTAACTGAAGTGAAAGTTGTTGTGGTGAAAATGCATCTCTAAACAGTGAGTGCTCCGTACCGGAGATTGGAAAACTTTGTGAATGGAAAACGTGAACTTCCAACCAAGTGGCGAAGATATAGAACGGGCCCTGATGGACCTGGGGCCGCTTCTTGGTGTGACCATCAAGGAAGAGGTGCCCGATGATCTGGCCGAGCCAAGTGCACAGCCACCCTCCCAACTTGCTGTGAGTAACTTCTAATATGTTTAAAACTGCAATAAATAACTGTAAATTAAATGACAATCAGGAAAGTGCTACAAATGCTGTGAATGAAGTGCTGGAATAGAAGCTAAGCCATAGCTTACTAATACTGCTCATTACTTTTTATCTCGGTTGCTCATGCTCATTTTAATTCAAAACACTGTAATTTTTTTTTAATTTCTAAAAGATTATTTTGTTTCCTTTACAACAATTTTTATTTTCTTGGAAATTAGAAAAAACAACTGCCAAGGGACATGTACAATTCTCATGGTGAGTGCTTAGCATTGCTCATCAACATTAGCAATGCCAAGGGAGAAGTAGCAAAACCACTGCCTGTTGCTTCTTATGTATATAATTTCTTCATACCATTAGCATTGCAAACATAATATACAACATTAATTAATTTACACGACAGGTTGGGAGTTTGCCTGATGCACCAGTCGCAGGTGGATCTTCAGTGGCAGAAGGGGAAGCAGTGGAAAGCAATGATAAAGGTTCTGCAGATTCCCTGGCATCGCCCACCACGGGCCGAGCGCCTCTATCTAGTTTGAGATGTGTGCTGTGCTACAATTCATTAGCAAGCTTAACTGGAACACCCAAGCTCATGGAATGTCTGCATTCAATTTGCGAGACCTGCCTTAAAATCAAGATAGAGATGATAAAAAGTGCCAACAGCACAGAATTTCTTGGTAATAAATTATTTTTGTTTTCCTTACATCACTTTCATGATATATTATCATACTCTTTTCTTGAGATGTTATGTTATATTATGGTCTGGTGCAATGTTTGGAAGAGTTGTCTATACTGTGCTATTAGTTATTCATATTCTAAAAAATTGGTGTTGATACCAACATATTGATAAAAAAATTTGAACTATTAAGGGAAATGGGTGGTCACTTTCTTAACTGATAAAATAATATGGTGATTCTTTTCGTTTCCCAGGTGCAGAAAGGGTCACAATATTGTGTCCGATATGCAGGTTTGAATGCCAACAAGCAAACATGATAGACCAGCGTTTCTTTATTGAGAAAATGGCTTTGGAGCAAGTTGGAAATAATGGTATGATATTTATTTTATTAATTTATTATACACAGGCATAGGACTTCTAGTTGCCTATAAGAGAGAAGAGTGAAAAGAATCAAGCATGAACCAAATTAAATCATAATAATCAAAATTTACGAAAACCATGTCTTTGTAACAATAGATTACTTTCTGTTTTATATTTTGACCATCTAGATTCAAACTTCTAGATTGTTCTTCCCAGTTCAGGCTACTTTAACATCATACATTGTAATATTCCAATATTTCATTTACCCAGTCACACTTTAAAGTAAATGGTCCTGATACTCATCCACTAGGGTGTTTCCATTAGAAAAAGCAAATACCCATAGTGAAAAGTAGTGCTCCTTTTCGCAATGGGTGCTACATATTTTAAGGTCTTCTGATCTACAGCAGCACCCACAGAACCTTCACTCTATCCAGTTCTTTGTCCGGAGGAGACTTTAAAGCCTCCATTACAGTCTTTATTGGCATACAGATAACACAAATTGATCGAGTTTACTAGCCAGAACAAGGCGATCCGACGCGACATTAGTCTGCGTCAGGGACAGGGATAGGTATTAAGATGTTGAAGACGACCAGTTTAAATACTAAGTGCAATATTTTGGTTTGCGCAGGTGCAATAAGCGGTGACCAGCAATGCAACAGCTGCGAGGACACAGAGCCGGCCACCAGCTACTGCGTGGACTGCGCGGAGTTCATCTGCGACAACTGTGTGCTTGCACACCAAAGGTAGACAGCCAGTTTGGCATTGCGCTCAGCAGATGTGAGAAAGACCCACAGACACAGCCCACTGAGTTTCTCGCTGGATCTTCTCAGTGGGTCGCGTATCAGATCCGGTGGTAGATTCTGCGAAGCACTGCTCTTGCCAGTGTTAGCAACATTCCGGCTTGAGTCCTGTGAGCTCACTTACAAGGAGAAGCTGAAATAGTCTCTCAAGGCTATCAGCTTAGGTATGAAAAACAAAAAAAAGTCTAAGAGCTGCCGACAGTCTAATGAGCTCAAACGGAATGAGTTTATCATCAAACTAGATTGGTCATACAATAATAGTATTGTTTTACTGCCATCAAAGTGTTATTGGAATTTAAAGTTCTGCGCTAATGACAATCTGAAGTGGTTGTCATTTGAATTGAAGATTAGGAGTCATTAGATGCTATTAGGATACTGTTACCTGTTACTTACTGTCTGTCACCCCCCTCGATCGGGTGGTATTCTTAAGTGAAATCCCCAGACTTAAAAAAAGTATCGGTTTCGATTCTCGGTCGCAGCCAGGACCGTTGCGAAGCTATTCGGGCTCTGGTTGAACTTGGCCTTGTCTCATAAAGTTTCCACCTTATCTTAGTGTGTATCTCTCCTCGGAACACGAGACAGCTTCACGGCAGAAATAGATAAAGTCGAGAATAAAGGTTTTTTTTTATTGCCCTTGTAGGCAGACGAGCATACGGCCCACCTGATGGTGAGTGGTTACCGTCGCCCATGGACTTCAGCAATGCCAGGGGAGAGCCAAGCCGCTGCCTACCGCTTAATACTCTCCATAAGCCTCTTTTAAAGAAGGACATGTCATAGCGCTCTGGAAACACCGTGGATGGGAGCTCATTCCAAAGCCGGATGGTACGTGGCAAAAAAGACCTCTGGAAACGCACTGTCGGTGAACGCAGCGGTTCCAGGTAATATGGATGAACTCTGCTCCGACCATCTCAAACAATTCCTCAGAGGACTCCCCATGGAACATACGGTACAAAATACATAGGGAACCGAAGTCCCTCTGCAGTTAAGGTTACAGTTAAGGTCATAAATGTTTTGTTGCAGACTGAAAATAACAAAAGACCACACGATAAAATCTAAGGAGGAGGCGGTGGCGGAGCTGCAGGCCGCGCAGGGCTCCGCGCGCAACGCGCACGACATGTACTGCACCGAGCACGTGCAGGTACCGACCACCCAAGCAGAACCCTAGAGTCTCCACCGGGGCTTGCAAAATTCATTAATAATTATCGATAAAAAATATCCGTGTACATAGTTTATATACATACGGTAGGTACTGGTGGTAGGACCTCTTTTGAATCCGCGCGGGTAGGTACCACCACCTTGCCTATTTCTGCCGTGAAGCAGTAATGCGTTTCGGTTTGAAGGGTGGGGCAGCCGTTGTAACTATACTTGAGACCTTAGCTTATATCTCAAGGTGGGTGGCGCATTTACGTTGTGGATGTCTATGGGCTCCAGTAACCACTTAACACCAGGTGGGCTGTGAGCTCGTCCACCCATCTAAACAATAAAAAAAAGGGCAGCAGCTTGGCTCTGGCCCTGGCATTGCTGAAGTCCATGGGCGACGGTAAACACTCACCATCAGATGGGCCGTATGCTCGTCTGCCTACAAGGGCATTAAAAAACACGCGATAGGCGTGAAACATTCTGAAGTGATCTATCTCATTCTCTCTCTAAATCGTATCGATGTATATGTTTGTCTCTTTTTAGTGTCGCTTCTTCGTTTCATCCAGTGTCAAATCACAACGTGGATAAAAAATTAATATCGTTATGTTAACACATTAACAATGTCTATAAATACAATCAATTACAATATTGTGTAATTTTCAATAGAATTCTCTTAATGGCCTCCGTTTCGAAGATATATCTACCCAAATGTAGAGTCTGCTTATAGTAGAATTTTCTAGATCAACTTCGAGAAGATTTTACGACTTTTCACGGTTTTATGTGCCCATTAGCCATTACCATGGTTTGGACCACGTTCATCCGCAATCCCATTCGTTGAGGAGTATAACTCGGTCATCTAACATCTTTTGCGAGTCTTGTAGCGATTCTACCATCAGGACTGTGTCGTCTGCAAACCGTAAGGTTTGATAAGATAAGCCTTATCACTAAATGCGACAGTACTTATGGCCGTCGGGCCGATGCCTTCAATTTTGTATTGACGGTCACGGTCATGTTATCGATTGGTGCATTGAAAACAAAAACAGATTCTTCCGTCGCAACTAAAATTTCTGCAGTTTCTCTACTCGATGATTTAAAAAAAGGGTTTTTATAACAAGAGTTAAGTTTTTGGGCAAGTTTTACGTTCGCACGTTTCCTAGATACCGAACAATGGTTGTGATTTGGTAAAAAGATGAGACTATCATCTCGCATAAAGAGACAGCGGAGCACATACACGCATACCGTGCTAAAGACTGCAACACTTTGGGAGGCTTAAACGACAACAGGAAGATTTTCCACTAGGCGGGTGATATTGCTCGGTAGACCGACGGTCCGAATGTTGTTGTTCGGAACTTGTATATATGCAAGCTTATCTTGAAAATTCCGTAAGCGAGATTCAGGCATCTGTCAAATATCTTGCGTTGTATGATGGCTATCGCCACAACCACCTCCACTAAAACATGTCGAGGTGGAGTACTCTACCGAGTTTAACCTTTGGACGCATAGATGGAGTTGGCTCATTGGTTTCATTGATAGTTGCCCTATGCCACTAAGAACACACAGAACTTATAGTACCCACACGTCCACAGAAGTTAGGCGTTTTGAATTCGTGAAATAGACCCTAATGACTAAATTAAGCAGTAAAAAAATAATGTACATACTATATATATATAACATATTGAAATCGGTATAGAAAGAGATGCGTTCGATGCAAAGTTATGTCAATACAATCTCGCACAACTCCGTACTGTTAATGATTACTTAAATATCACAATGAAATGATTATTATGTACAAAAATTGTAAAAACAAAAAGTTTTTATTGTACATAATTTTATTTTAACTCTTCCTCAAGAGTTTGAGGAATTCGATGCGCCGTGTAAATTATTTGTTTGTTTATTTGGTGATTGACATCTTGTTTATGTTTCTGATATCGTTTTTTTTATCATTGTGTCGTTTTTTTTTTGTTTTTTATTGCTTAGATGGGTGGATGAGCTCACAGCCCATCTGATGTTAAGTGGTTACTGAAGCCCATAGGCATATACAACGTAAATGCGCCACTCACCTTGAGATATCTAAGGTCTCAAGTATAGATACGGCTGACCCACCCTTCAAACCGAAACGCATTACTGCTTCACGGCAGAAATAGGCAGGCTGGTGGTACCTACCCGCGCGGACTCACAAGAGGTCCTACCACCAGTAATTACGCAAATTAAAATTTTGCGGGTTTCACTTTTATTACACGATGTTATTCCTTCACCGTGGAAGTCAATCGTGAACATTTGTTGAGTACGTATTTCATTAGAAAAATTGGTACCCGCCTGAGATTCGAACACGTCTTATCCGTTAGGCCACGACGACTTCTACATTGTTACACAGCTAAGTTTCGGCTTGACATCCCCATTGTGGGACGTCCTGTATAGGGTTAATCCGCGGCACAAATTGAAAGATAAATATGGTAATTTTCGTTTTCAGGAGCGGCTCTCTCTGTTCTGTGAGACGTGTGACCGGTTGACTTGCCGAGACTGTCAGCTGCAGCACCACCGCGACCACAAGTATCAGTTCAGCACCGAAATGGCCGCACAGGTAATAATTATAACTAGTGGTCCCCCGATAATCGAAATTCGACTATCACTATTCGACTATACTGGTGGTAGGACCTCTTGAGAGTCCGCGCGGGTAGGTACCACCGCCCTGCCTATTTCTGCCGTGAAGCAGTAATGCGTTTCGGTTTGAAGGGTGGGGCAGCCGTTGTAACTATACTGAGATCTTAGAACTGATATCTCAAGGTGGGTGGCGCATTTACCTTGTAGATGTCTATGGGCTCCAGTAACCACTAAACACCAGGTGGGCTGTGAGATCGTCCACCCACCTAAGCAATAAAAAAATAATAATTGAAATTATAAATTTGTACACTGTTATGATTCTATTGTCAAAGGATATTTATTATACTTTTATAGTCACAGATTTTTCCAAGACCACACTATAGACATATATTTAAAGACAAACAATATTTAATCTATTCTCAATTTGACCACAGACTATAAGCAATAAGAAAATTTTGACAATAAACAAATAGTATGCATAAGTGTGTGTGTCAAATACATGGTAGTGTGTGTAATGTTTTTATTTTATTGATTTAAAGTATTTTTTATGCATAATATAAAAAAATATTAACATTCTGCACTCCTTCTCCATAAGTGTGGGAAATTTCATACTCTTCCGTCCGTCTGATTTTCGTAAAAAGGGGTACAAAGTTTTTGCTTCACGTATTAATATATAGATACAGTGAGATGTTTTTAGGCCCGTAAAAGAAATTAAATTCGATGATGACACCTGTTTAATTAATCGGTTTGGTTTGCGTAACCCAAAACATTTAATTATTTTTTTGGTTCAATAGGTCGTGACGTCACATGTCAGTAAACAGGCTGAGCGTCTAACGGTTACACATATTAGACAGCTGTTTATTGAAAAGCTAGATTTTAGTGAAATTATATTTTTAAATATGTACTTTATTATAAGACGCGCCAATAAAGAAATGAATCGAAAATGGCGTCTATGTACCTTCACTGACAGATGGTAGGGTCAACAAATAAAAATAAAGATAGAAAGAAAAAGTTGTTTATTGTAAAAAAATATAAAAATCAAATGAGAATGTACTTTACTTCACAATAACAATAACAAAAACAACAAAATAACAACGAAATAACGAACAAATAAGAACAGAATTTGAGAGAAAACAGAGCACGTCGAGACAGTGTGAGAACAAAGTCAGAACTGTTTTTTTTTTGCATTCATGCAGTACGCCCGTTTGCGACTAAAGACAGCAATAGCTTAGAGTGAGAGCGCATGATCGCCGCCGCCATTTTAGATTCGTTTCTTGATTGGAAGTACCGATTGATGATGATGATGTACTTGTCTGCAGGCCAGGTCGAGCATCTCCTCGCTGCTGTCGGAGGTGAGCTACAAGCGCGTGCTGCTGGGGTCCGCTATGAAGGTCATCCGTGACCGGCACGCGCTCATCGCGGACAAGAAGCGGGCGCTCGTCCACGACATCACGCAGACCGTAGTCAAGTTAGTACTAGCACAGCAGATGACGACTTAAGCCTCTTGTAGGCAGCCTACCTGATGGAACCACGACCTAGTGAGAATCGCTGGGTCACGTTGAATGCAGGTGGCAACGGACCGGACGCACTGGATCAACAGTGGACAGCCTGAAATGATGATGAGCTCACCTGATCACAAGTAGTCATCATCGGTTATGAACTTCGACAATACTACAGCCGCAGTCAAGATGCTGCCTAACACGAACTGCATACCACTGGCTATTACATACACATTTAATTAACAAATTCACGCCAACTTGAATTCCACCACGCCGTTGAGTCACTCAATATTACTGGTGGTAGGACCTCTTGTGAGTCCGCGCGGGTAGGTACCACCTCCTCGCCTATTTCTGCCGTGAAGCAGTAATGCGTTTCGGTTTGAAACGTGGGGCAGCCGTTGCAACTATACTTAGACCTTAGAACTTATATCTCAAGGTGGGTGGCGCATTTACGCTGTAGATGTCTATGGGCTCCAGTAACCGCTTAACACCAGGTGGGCTGTGAGCTCGTACACCCATCTAAGCAATAAAAATAAATAAATATCAAATTCACGTCAACTTGAATGCCACCACGCCTTTGAGTCTGCCATCATGCAGATCAGAATGTACGACTGCTTCACGAGGGTTAGGTTCCCAGGCTCCCGACACGCCCCGCCGTTACTCGCTCGTGGGTTCATTGATCTCAATAAGCAGACCGTTTGTGATTTTTGTCAAAATTTTCAGGTTAACTAACGCGATAAACACCCGCGGTAAGCAGCTGGTGCTGCGGCTCAACGAGGTGTGCGACGCCAAGCAGCGGACCCTCACCGAGAAGAAGGAGGCGCTGGAGCAGCTCGCTGCCATCACCGACCACTGCGTCAAGTTCGTCACGGCGGCGCTCGAGCAGGTCCGTAACGTCCACTGGGTCGCACCCACCACCCACCCGCTCCGTGACCGAGGCTCGCTTTGAATATATAAATACTTGTTGTTCGAAACCATTCTGTGGGTGTTGAGTTTTTAGCACGGCAACACTGGTCGCGAATTTACAGGGCATTCGTGCCTTGACATTTGTCAGTTCTCGGTCGGAAAGATAGATGCGCGTGTCGGCTCTATGGTATCTCATTATCTCATACTTTCCTTACTACATCCTCATCTTGAAGACTCCTATCTTACGTGATACGACGAGGTCATCGGTTCGTGGTGAGTGATAAGTTATTAATTTATTAAGAAAATAAATACGGCGCTGCGGATCCCGGCACGTGTTCGACCCCTCGTGCTGGTTTCCGGAGCTCCAGGCTGCCACGCGGAGGCTGAATTAAGATTCAACAGTTGTTATACGATATTTAAAATCTCCGCATATTTAAATCGGTCCAGTGGCATCACAGACTGCACGGCTAACGCGTACAGACATGACGTGGCTGAGCGAGCGCTGGTCTCGCAGCTATCAACGACACAAATCTGACGGTATCGCGTCACAGCGTCACCACTAACCGTCGCTGCGTCCCCCCCCCCCTCAGGGCAGCGACACGGCGCTGCTGTACTCCAAGCACTCGGTGTGCGCGCACCTGCAGCGCATCAAGAGTCGCCGGGCGGACATACCCAACCCGGAGATACCCGTCCGGATCAACCTGGCCCTCGACAAATTACCTGAACTGATTCGAGGTTATACAATTTGAACAGCTCCTTTTATTTAAATTGAAATCTGTATTTGAAATATTCAATTTCAATTCTCCTCTAGTTAGTTATATGCTAAGTTGTTTAATAAAAAATGATTTTAACTCAAGATTTAACTAAAGAATTACCTTCCCATAAGCGTTTGGCAGAATAATTTAATCAAATATCAAACGAATTTTAAACTAACAAACACAACTTCAGCCTTTTAATTACTAAAAACTTTTCTAACGCCTGAGCTTTATTGAAAACTGTCACTAAACTTTAGTTTGGTATGGCAGTATTGTCGACAATCGGCGCCATAGTGGTGGACGGCAAGGTGGACGGGGGCTGCGGCGGCTCCCCCGCGGCGACGTCCCCGTACCCCGCGCCCGCCCCCGCCGCCGCCCCCGCGCCCGTCCCCGCTCCCGCCCCCAACAACTCCGCTGTCGTGGCCCTACAGCAAGTCGCTATGCACCAGGTATATTATTTATTTTAAATTTTTCATCCTCTTATACTCCGATTAGTACTATAAACATTCTATAAACGTTTTAAAAATCAATTACGTCAAATCAAATGTTTGAACCAAACGATAATATTATTTACTTGTTTAAGTTTAAAAAGGAATAAAAATTGTGTATCAAACCTTTACGCATAGGTTTATTTAGTATCTGCATACCCAAAATGGGCATTGTCCTTTTTATTTCTTTGATTGAAAAAACGTTTCGAGAAATTTGAGATCCTTTTTTCGAGATCAGGAACTTTTAATCAAAAATAATCTTTAATTGTTAATGTTTATAATTAAATATGTTTGACCTTTGTTTGTTCTCAGAAAATGTCATCTTTGGCTTTGTACAAATAGATACAATACTTTAGCCTGTATTTTTATATACTCTGTATGACACTCACATATCAGTTTAATTAGGGGATCGCGAGGAGTGAAGTTGTGTGATTTGTTTTATTTTGTTTATTTAGTGTTTCTTCGGGTTTAAATGTGTAATAATGGTGGTTTATTAACTGTTTAATATCTGTGAAAGTGCACAAATGTGGGAAAATGAAACAAAGCCGCTGGACGTAACTTCTCGGGATCCTCCAAAAAGTCCACTGAAAAAATCTTAGTAAAAGACCACCATTTTACTGAGATTATATTTCATCTCATATCATCTCATTTATTTCATCCTAGTTGATTAATGCCTCAAATTAATCATCTTCATTTCATTTCACTCCATAATATCATTTTTCATAAAAATATGAATATACATTAAAATAAGACATGACTTAAAGGTTTAAGTTACCAGGTCATAAAATACTTTTAAAAAAATCAGTTTAATTATGAGGTTACCGATAATCTCAAACCACTCTTCTAATTAGAACTCAAAGTATGAAGGCATAACTGCTATGACTGACTTGAACACTTTTAAGTTGAGCGTCCACATATAAATGGTGTGACGTCATGCCTGCAGACATATTATTATACGATGAACTAACTGCTTTCATAAATTTTATTACTAAATCGAATAGCACAATTTACGTTATTTTATTTATTGATTAATTTCTATGTTATAAGCATAAAAATGTTATAATTGGTTTACAATTTAAAAAAAAACAGTGGATTTTATGACAATTTTTTGTTTTTACCTAAACGGTTACTAACATTTTCGTTATGATGTCTACGGTTTTTGACAACTGCACGACCCGAAGTTGCTCTGTTCATTTATAGTAAGGTGAATGTGATGAAAATTTATATAGAGTTAATTGTTGTATGTCTGTCAGACAGTGGAAAGATATCAGGTTAGTCTGAATACTACATATAACACTTTGGAGCCTCGCTTCATGTAGTCTCCCTTCCCTTGTCATTGTGTCGCGTTGTGTGCGCAGTCGTACGTGGCGTCGGTGGCGGGCGCGGGCTACATGTCGCTGGCGGGCGGACGGGCGCGCCCGCACACGCCGCTGCGGCACCCGCACGTCACCTCCACCACGCACCCGCACCACCTGCACGGTACGTGGCGCCCCGCGGCCGCGCCGCTGCTCGTAGCGCTGCTGTGTGCTCATGTGTGCTCATGTGTGCTCATGTGTGCAGGGATGAGCGAGCTGAACCTGCGCGGGCTGCTCAACGCGGCGGGACGGGGCCGCGCGCCGCACCCCGCCGTGCACCACGCCTACCAGCAGAGTTAGTGTATTGTATTGCCCGTCCTCACACTCACTGTACTAGTTAAGGCTCTAGGCTAAGTACTTAAATGTAGGCAGCGGCTTGGCTCTGTCCCTGGCGTTGCTGAAGTCCATGGGCGACGGTAACCACTCACCATCAGATGGGCCGTATGCTCGTATGTTTGCAAGGACAATAAAAAAAGGCTCACTGTTGATATTACGCTGTATTATAATTATTACTCTTTAAATAAAATGTTATTGTTCATTGAATTGACTCGCGCGCCCCCTGCCGCTCGCTGACGGTACTGCAACTGCCTCACAGGAGGTCAACACAATCCAATAATTGATCCAATGCGTTGTTGATTTATCTATCGATTTTCACAGACGGCACAGCCGTTACAGCTTACAGTTCAAGATTCAATCTCATCTCTCAGAATGAGTACACGTCGCAGCGCCCGGGGCTACTTATCAGCAGATGGGCCGCGACCTCGTCGCCTGCTGATATCATTGTAGCTCAGGCATAATATCTAAATGTTGTTACTAGTTAGTAAACAAATATGCTGATAGTGATCAAATACATGCATTTATATGAATAACGTGATACTAATTCCAGTGATGAATGCATACGGTGGCACCGGGTACAACAGCGCTCCCAACCCCGGACAGGGGTTTAACGCCAGTCCAGCCGCCGCCCCCGGGTATAGCGGGGGCGCGCCCGGGGGTGCCACGGGGGGACTCGTGGGGGGACACGCGGGCCCCACCGGGGGACGGCGCAGTGTGGGGCCCCGCACTCCCTCGCCCGCCCCCCACTACCCTCCCGCTAAATGGCACATCCCACAACACAATTCACACAACGGTGAGTGTAAGTAATTAGGGAGAAAAATGATATCCTACTATTCATTATTTTACAACTAATGTTACATTCCGAAGTCCGAACAGATATCCATATCATAAGCGCTACTGTGTAAGGGCCCCGGGGAGGCGACACGCTCCATACCACGGACACAAATGTGAAAGTTTAAAATAAGAAATTTTTAAATATCTGGTAGGTGTAGGTAATGCTAGTCGCTGTTATTATTTCACATCATTATTACATTATTATTGTTATATGCAAAATAGTACAAATAGTAATTCATTTTTCACGAGGGTTAACTGGTAGGTAAGGCTTTATAGCATCAAATTCACCTTTGTAATTGCTTTTTATGTACAATGAGGAATTTATTATTTATTTATTTTATCGACCGCAGAACGCACTATAAGGATATCTCCTGTCTAAAAATCACTAATTATGCAGCAACAAAAGAGCTCATGTGAAACGTCTCGCTATCCCTCTCACGCGGTAACGGTGACGTCATGAACCACTACATGCGTTCTTGTTATTCGATTCGTTATCAGAGTACAAATAATTAAGTTTATATGTTTTGAGAATTAAGTTATAACATTCTTGATGTTCAAAGCTTAAAACGCGGGTAGGTTTCTATATTTTAGGTGATTGTCTCTGGGCAGTAGGCTGTATGGGCTTAGATCCCCTTGCCTTTCCTAATAAGTCAATAAGAAAGCTAACCGTCCCCCGTGTTCTCCAGGCGGACCGGAGCTGGCGGCGGGAGGCGGCGCGCCCCCCAGCGGCGGCTCGGAGTACAAGATCACGCTGTCCCGGCCGCGCCCGCAGCCCGCCGTCGTCACCTCCACCAACCCCAAGACGCCCAGCCCCAGCCTCAACGTACGTACCGCACGCGCCGCCGCGCAGTAAAAGCCCGCTCACACGTGGTCTCCGTTTTACTGGTCCGTTTTGTCGAATGTCTGACGTCGTCGTGGCCTAAAGGATAAAACGTCCGGTGCATTCGTATGTAGCGATGCACCGGTGTTCGAATCCCGCAGGCGGGTACCAATTTTTCTAATGAAATACGTACTCAACAAATGTTCACGATTGACTTCCACGGTGAAGGAATAACATCGTGTAATAAAAATCAAACCCGCAAAATTATAATTTGCGTAATTACTTGTGGTAGGACCTCTTGTGAGTCCGCTCGGGTAAGTACCACCACCCCGCCTATTTCTGCCGTGAAGCAGCAATGCGTTTTGGTTTGAAGGGCGGGGTAGCCGTGGTAACTATACTTGAGACCTTAGAATTTTTCAAGGTGAGTGGCGCATTTACGTTGTAGATGTCTATAGGCTCCAGTAACCACTTAACACCAGGTGGGCTGTGAGCTCGTCCACACATCTAAGCAAAAAAAAAAAAGCGTTTTTTTTTCACCGATGGAGCATGGAGTTGTATGAGCGACTTCACATATGGTACAGTATTCAATATACAGTATAAAAAAGGTCCCGTAAATCATGACATTCCGTTTTGTCATCGAATACTGGATGAACGGAATACGTATCCGTCATATTGCCGCAAAGTTTACCGGATAGAAACTGTGCGGGGGTGAGGGGGCCGGCGGGCGGTGCAGCTAGACAAACAAGTTTCATCCTGATAAAAGAGCGGCGGTATACTACGAATTTGCTTGTGAACATCGAATCCAGTAATGACGGATACGTTTAACGTTATACGGTACCAATGAGTGAACAAAGCATATTTATACCGGTCACCGTTCTCGTCGAACCTGTCACTTGCGACGAAGGGCTCGTCTGGTAAATTAACCCACAGACACAGCCCCCTGAGTTTCTCGCCGGATCTTCTCAGTGGGTCGCGTTTCCGATCCGGTGCTAGATTCTACGAAGCACGGCTCTCGCTAGGGTTCGTGTTAGCAACGTTGTCAGGTTTGAGTTCCGCGAGCTCACCTACTAGTTAAGGTTACGCTGAAATAGCCTCTCAAGGCTATCAGCTTAGGTAGAAAAAAAAAGCATATTTTTTTTGTCGTCTCCGTTAAAACGGGCACCGTATACACGGAGACTATTTGTGTGAACGTAGCCTAACGATTGGTTGCTCCAGCTCACCGCTTGTGACAGGGCGGCGCCAGCGAGCTGGACGCCGTGTGCGCCGAGTCCGTGCAGGACCTCATGGCCACCATCGCCAAGCTGGACTCCAACGGCGTGCAGGTGCTGCCCGAGCACTCCCCCGCGCCGCTCGTGCACTCCTCCACCGACCCCGACCCCGCCCCAGGTGACTACCACGCCGAGGGACAACCAATATTATTAACTAGCTGACCCGGCAGACTTCGTAGTGCCTCAGTCAATAAATAAAAGACCTAACTTTTGTATTAAATAAACTTAAAACAAACAAAAGGAATCCGTCCAACAGGGGACATATCAAAGAAAAAACAAAATTGTAATTTTTATTTAATTCCGGGTCTTTTCATATTTATTTACCTTTTAAACATATTCTGGACTTCCACGAATAATGTACATTACATATTTTATCAACCTAAAACAATATGTGCAGAGTAACGGTTATCGCACGTGGTAAACCTAGTGCCGCTAACCTTCAGATTATGAGTAGAGACTTGGATAAATGGCACAGCAAGTCGTGGCCTAAAGGATAAGACGCCCGGTACATTCGTATCGAACGACGCGACCGTGCCGGGGTTCGAATCCCGCAGACAGGCACAAAATTTTCTAATGAAATATGTAGGTACTTAACAAATGCTTACAAATGACTTCCACAGTGAAAAAATAACGTGATTTGGTTATAAATAAATAAGCAAATAAAAAAAGCCTTTATAATAAATACTAAATGATCGATTCCAAAGCAGCCTGGTTGTGCTCGTGGACATCAGCAATGCTAGAAGTGCGCCGAAGCTGCCAGCTACTGCCTAAGATTATGTCTTGCATTCGGCGATGTTGGTCCAAACATGTTGCTTACTCGACATAACAAACAGTGGTGCTATTTTTATGTAATAAAATGACTTTATTACGGCAAAAGTCGAATATGTTCCGCAGGTAAGAGCTTGGCCACGAATGCGGCGGGCGCAGCGGGCACGAGCGGCAGCGGAGGCGGAGGCGGGAGCGGGGATCCCAACGAGGACTGGTGCGCCGTGTGCATGGACGGGGGCGAGCTGATGTGCTGCGACAAGTGCCCTAAAGTGTTCCACCAGTACTGCCACATACCCACCATAGAAAAACTACCCGAGTATGTATCTGTGTAGTTTGGCCACCTGACATCCAGCTCCAATTAATAGTGTGTTTGATAAGATTCAACTTGGCTACTGACAGCGGAGCACATACACGCACACCGTGCTAAAGACTGCACCACTTTGGGAGGCTTAAACGACAACGGTAAGATTTTCCACCGAGCGGGTGATATTGCTCGGTGGACCGACGGTCCGAATGTTGTTGTTCGGAACTTGTATATATGCAAGCTTATCTTGCCAATGTCGTAAGCGAGATTCAGGCATCTGTCGAATATTCTGCGTTGTATGATGGCTACCCGCCACACTAATCAGTCTTAAGGTCTGCTGTAAACAATTTTCTGTTATAAAACCAGACAAAGATGACATCTGCATTAAGATGGTAGGCAGCGGCTTGGCTCTGTCCCTGGCACTGCTGACGTCCATGAATGATGGTGACCACTTGCCATCAGGTGGGCCGTATGCTCGTCTGCCCACAATAGCAATAAAAAAAAAAGATGAGTCGTGTGGATTTCCAGCGAGACTGAGAGCTGGCAGTGCCTTCTGTGCGTGAACTTCGCGGAGGTGGGGGAGGACGCGGCGCCCGGGGGCTCCGGCGCGGGCCCGGGGCTGGGCCCCCGCATGCAGCGCCTCGTGGAGCGGATCACGCTGGAGTTGTACTGCCAGTACGAACTCAGCCTGCACTTCAGGGAGCCCGTGCCGGCCGAGAACCTGCACTACCACTCCAAGGTGCGCGCCAGCCATTCAAAATGAATATCGACGCTTGAAAGGCAAACGTGACTAAGCGACAATAACTGCTTTATACTTAAATGATAGATGATGCGAAAAAAAAAATATTTCTAGGTCTATTAAAATCATTTCAATCCTACAGCTAGATTCGTTAAAATAAATTTTGTTTTCAGATATTTCAACTTTAAATTAGTCTACTGTAAAGTTCACGCATTGTCGCTTAGTCACGTTTGCCTTACAAGCGTCTATATTTTCGTGAAAACTGCATCGAATTAAGTCATAAAAGTATGTAGAAATTAGGGTTGTGCTGACAGTATTAATAATATTTTAATATTTGATATGGACTTCTCATAGAACCCGTGTGGGCTTAGTGAGAGGGTTTGGCGCTTACCCTTTGCTTCATGTTCAACTGTTCAACATATTTACTGATGGCAGGACCTCTTGTGAATCCGCACGGGTAGGTACCACCACCCCGCCTATTTCCGCCGTGAAGCAGTAATGCGTTTCGGTTCGAAGGGTGGGGTAGCCGTTGTAAATAAATAAATAATAAATATTTACTAACAGTCACGCCACGTTAACTGGTCCCGTGATAAGTTCGTAAAGAACTTGTGTTACAGGTACCAGATAACGGAAATAAATGTAAGATTTTTATTATACACATACACATATTTAATANACTTTCCACTGTACGCAAGCGTACTTTTGGGAGCAAGCGGAACGAGGGCGCGGTGCGGGACGCAAGGTTCGACTGATCTACCAATAACGCGCTCGATACGATTTCCCCTGCCGTCGCGCCTCACCCTCACCACCAAAGTGATCTAAAATTCGGTTCTGCGCAGTCAAGGTCATTTGCTCAAGAAGTTTGCCGATTACTATACCGCCAATTCACAAAAACTAGCCTCCGTCCGAATTTTTTTATATTAGTTTTTTTTTTTTTTCTATTTTTTTTTTTTTTAATATTTATTTTTACAATGAGTGTTATAACATAAAAATTATTGCAATATTGAAACGCCCGGAGCGAGCAACTCATTCCCACTTTGTGCAATCTTCTAGATAATCATTGACTTTATAGTAAGCTTTATTGCACAGATGTTCTTTAATAGTTTTCTTAAATCTATGTATATGTAGGTTCTGAATGATATGTCGACCTGACATAGACCTACAACTAATAGCGTGTTTGATAAGTTTCAATTTGGTTTGGGAGAAGTCTAAGGTCCACTGTAAACACTTTTCTGTTATAAAACTAGAAAAAAATGACATCTGCATTAAGATGGTAGGCAGCGGCTTGGCTCTGCCCCTGGCATTGCTGACGTCCATGAGCGACGGTGACCACTTACCATCAGGTGGGCCGTATGCTCATCTTTCCACAATAGAAAAAAAAAAAGAAAAAAAAAGATGAGTTGTGTCGATTTCCAGCGAGACGGAGAGCTGGCAGTGCCTTCTGTGCGTGAACTTCGCGGAGGTGGGGGAGGACGCGGCGCCCGGCGGCTCCGGCGCAAGCCCGGGGCTGGGCCCCCGCATGCAGCGGCTCGTGGAGAGGATCACGCTGGAGCTGTACTGCCAGTACGAACTCAGCCTGCACTTCAGGGAGCCCGTGCCGGCGGAGAACCTGCACTACCACTCCAAGGTGCGCGCCAGCCATTCAAAATGAATATCGACGCTTGAAAGGCAAACGTGACTAAGCGACAATAACTGCTTTATACTTAAATGATAGACGATGCGAAAAAAATATATATTTCTAGGTCTATTAAAATCATTTCAATCCTACAGCTAGATTCGTTAAAATATAATTATTTTCAGGTATTTCAACTTTAAATTAGTCTACTGTAAAGTTCACGCATTGTCGCTTAGTCACGTTTGTCTTTCAAGCGTCGATATTTTCGTGAAAACTGCATCGAATTAAGTCTTAAAACTATGTAGAAATTAATGTTGTGCTGACAGTATTAATAATATTTTAATATTTGATATGGACTTCTCATAGAACCCGTGTGGGCTTAGTGAGAGGTTTTGGCGCTTAACCTTTGCTTCATGTTCAACTGTTCAACATATTTACTGATGGTAGGACCTCTTGGGAATCCGCACGGGTAGGTACCACCACCCCGCCTATTTCCGCCGTGAAGAAGTAATGCGTTTCGGTTCGAAGGGTGGGGTAGCCGTTGTAACTATACTGAGAACCTTAGAACTTATGTCTCAAGGTGAGTGGCGCATTTACGTTGTAGATGTCTATGGGCTCCAGTAACCACTTAACACCAGGTGGGCTGTGAGCTCGTCCACCCAACTAAGTAATAATTTTTTTTATAAAAGACTGCTTCGGCCTTAATGAAAATCTATATCAGAAATTATATAGAACAGAGAAGGCTGTATGCGCTTAGATTCCCTTGCCTTTAATAATAAGGAAAAATTATACCAAAAAAAAATTGTCTATGGGTAAGCTAAGACCCCCATCCGTCTCGACAGATCGCTCGGCCCATGTGCCTGGACGCCATTCGCATGAAGCTGCAGCCGGGGTCGGCGTCCCGCTACGCACACGTGGAGCGCTTCCTGGCCGACGTGCGCCTGCTCTTCCGCAACGCCTACGCCTACAACCCGGTACTCACCCTCGCACGCCATCCAACAATTTAGACTCACTACTCTGTAGGGATTTCATTGCGAGGATTCTACAATAATGTTACGCGCTGGGGTTCGGGATAAATAAAATTTCACAAAAAGTACAACTTAAAAACTGTATTCAACACTTAAACACTTCACAAACACTTTAAAACACTCAACAAACACCTTAAAACTCTCAATTCGCTTATTCCGCTTCGCTTCAGGTGATCCGTTCGCTGTTTCGCTTCGAGTAGTTCCGATTACCGACTGACTGCGTGCCATCCCTACAACGCTTTTATAGTCGATACCTCATCCTTAGAATTATCGAGAATATTTCACACATCTCTAGTAGTAGTTTCCGCTATCTAACAATAGATGGCGTTGAACTTCTCGAGCGTTCTGAGCGCTACTAGATCCTCCGACATTCGTTCGACTATTCGGCGATAGATGGCGTTACTCTTACCGGCATAACAGTAATAATATAGCTCTGAAATGTAAATTATAAGAAGGCACTCCGAAACCATATCACCAATACGCCCCAAAACCTGTGCTTGAGGGCGATATAACTCTAATTGATAAAATAAATAAATTAGTGCATTTAATAGACATAGCAGCTCCTAACACCCATAATATGCAGAAAACAATAACTAAACAAATACATAAATATATAGAATTAAAAGAAGAAATTACTAGAGTTTGGAAAATGAGTAAAGTATATTTTATACTGTGCCGCTGGTGCTTTCCAGCTCTGAAGTCATACCAAAGCACCTTTTTTTCCTACCTAAGCTGATAGCCTTGAGAAGCTACATCAGGGTCGCCTTAACTAGTAGGTGAGCTCACGGGACTCGAACCTGAGCAAAGCACCTTCACCACTCCATCAAGCTATTAGATTTACCCAAAACATATAATTTACCATGCAAAAGCCACAATTTGAAATACGTGCCGGTTTGTTCGGAAGTTTTTGCAGGACGAAACATCAGACGTAATTAAAACTGATAATGAACTCAACTTGGCCAGTATTTACCGAAATTCATAAAAATTCAAGAATAAAAACTTTGTACATAATAATAATTATTATTTATTTCTCTCTTAAAAGTATAGTACAAATACAAATTGTAAACCTTTCATAAAGCTGAAGTCTGTACTAGATAATAGTCGTAGTATCGATAAAGTGTAGTGTGTGTCCCGTCACTAACGCCGTCCTCTCTGCACAGCCGGACTCGCAGGTGTACAAGGACGCGAAACGACTCGAAGAGTTCTTCGACGCTCAACTGTTGAAGTGGCTCCCGGAGTACGCTTACTGGAACGGCGAGGCCGAGGGCGAAGCGCCCACGAAACGACCCCGACTGGACTGACAAGACGCTCCGGCGCCACCGCGCGCCCCCGCCCCCGCCACCTACCCCTCGTCCTGCATCACGACGAGCTCCATAGCCCTGGTGCAGTCGAGGACCCAGTACGCGGCGTACAACCCTCAGATGCTGCCCTCGCTGATGGCTCCTCCGCAGCCCTGCACCACCATCCTGCAGGGCATGCAGTGCTCCAGATATCTTCCTCACTAGAGGTCCGGTTCATTTATTACAGTCGGATCGAACATTCTGGAACAGGCGAGGCGACTGCTTCGCTCATTGCGCCGCGCGTTAGTACTGTAAGGGTTAGCGACGTAATCAAACGAATACACAGTACTCGTTCATGTGAATATTCTCATTGTTTATTACGTAAGCAAATTTATCACAATATTTGTAGTTAATACTAGGTATTTCTGCTAGAGTTAAGATGTTAAGAAAAGTTCCTCTACGGTTGTTGTGAGACCTTCCATTTCACGTCCCTCGGGCCGCGACGTGAGGTCACTCTCAGTCATCACATCCGCGTTCAATAGCAATAGTAGATAAAACCGTGTCCTCGGCGTTACCATGGTTACGGATATATCACAAGTAACCTGAGCGATGCGTCTCCCTTACTGCGAGCTGGAGCTCAACTCTACGAAGGGCGCGGGACTAGATCATTCTTCACATCAGCGTGCTTGGAACAGTGTTCCAACTCCATACAAATTTAAGTTAACTTTGACGCTATCGAGAGCGTTAAAAAACTCACACTGAGCACACTGAAAGCCGTAATGAGAAAGGTGTCGACGAGTATTCACAGAACTGGAAATCAACTGTAAAACTGTTTGTCAAATATACTAAAGTTTGATACCAGCGGAGGTTTGAACTCTGGCACAGTCGCATCGCTCCATACGAATACACCGACCGTCTTACCCGTCAATGTATTTCAAAATATTCAACAACAACAAATTAGTATCATAATTGGAATGATGCAATTTTTATCTTTGGTTGAGTTATAATTACATATCTCGATGGATCACTTTTGACTGTCGATGGAAATTGCATCTTATGTGTATGCGCTTAAGACGTATTAAGCTAGAACACGAAATCAAATGTGCTCTTGTTCCTATATGAGTTATAACGAAAGTTATGTTTTGGATTGTGGACATCTGTGATATGACGGAACATTGACCGCCAACGACGTTTTATTTATATAACGTAAACGCAATTACCATTATTTATTGGGGTTTTGTTTGTTGGCAACACTAATATCTGTTGGAAGAGAAGAGAAAATGCAAATAAATCTGTTATTATTAAAGTTTTAATTTTTTAAAATTTCAAGTCCGAAATGACGAAAAATTTACGCAGCAATTTGAAGGGATCTCTGCCATACGAGGCTGACCCGATCTTCATATTTTGTAGAAATAGAAGGTAGTTTACGATACGGAAATAACAATATATTTATTAATAATCATCATCATATAATTACATACAATTATGTATTCTAAACTAATGCGAATAGTGATTAATAATGATATTAAAAAGTAAATAGCATAATACATTAGTGATACCATTTAAAAAAAATTGGATAAAAACTATTTTTTTAAGCTGCATTTTCAATTTGCGGGAAATTTCGAAGTATCAAATGAAAACATGTAAAAGTGTAAGAAAAGTTACCATTAACGACTAGCCAGCAACTGTTGGTTCATCTGAACTAATAGTTAATGAGTACTGCTTCTAATGTGGCTTGTCGATTTATGGGAAATAGGTACCTAAGGGAAAATATAGGATACATGAGTTCAGTTCATAGTAGCAATCGTTTTATAAGATTCTCGCAAGTCGTAGAAATAACGCAAAAAGTCTTTACATTCTATCGTTGCCTTTCGTTTGTACAGCTTACGAACAATAGACAAGCATGTGACCACAGTGTTGCCAGAAATTTTAGTTTTGATATTTTGATAGTTTTTTATTTCGGTGGCCCGTAAGAAGTATTGTAATGAAAAAAAAAAGTAAGTGAACAGTAAAAAACAAAGACGATAGTATAATACAAATATATTAAATCCTTTTAAAGCGATTTTCAGTACATCCCTACCTGGTCACGCGTGTTGGCTGAAAGTTTCATTCGAGGTACAGCCCTGGCTACGCGTTTCGTTTTACGAAATAAAAATTTCACTTGTAATTAAAAAAAAAAGCATCGCCTAATATGAAGGAGCTCTCCTAATTTTTGAATTGTTATATTGAGCTATGTATTTATTTGCTCTTCGTTTGATTCGATTGTGTAGTTATAAATATTTCAAGACTCCAGTATCATTGATAGGTGTAATGATATTATAATGCATAAACATGTTTGTTGTACAAAATTTAAATATACAGCCACATATAATGCCATATGATTCTCTTCAGTCTATAGATCAAAAATACGAATTCCTTCGCTTTGAAGTAAATCTTAAAATTCGTTCATGTACAGACAGTTGTACACACAATAGAACTACATTTCTAAATTATGTAGTTATATTTTTACATCACAATTATAATACTATAATATAAGTAAGAGAATTTAATATATACATAGTATTATAGTGAAAATATTCCAATTGGAATTCTAAGGTCGACGGTGAGTCTCAAGTTAAATTCGAGAAAGGCGTAATAATTTAAATATAATTATTTCCATTAAAACTATGATGATTGTTTAAATCGACTTGCGCGTCGACTTAACTGATTGCGTGACATTCTCATTGCCTTATGGCGGAACTAGTGATTGATTTTAGCGGTTATTGGAACCGTTTATTGTCCCCAATTGGAGCCATGAGGTCGAAGTCGCAATCGTACTGTTATAATACCCTCTTGTTCCTAGCTTTGCTTCCATCATCACCTTTCCCGAATAGCATCAACACTTATGATCCCTTATTAAACAATCAGTCCTATTCCTAATTTCACACGGCAGGGTTGCCGTCATTGTCGTGGTAAATTTTTGTATGTCTATGTCATTATTTTTTAAAAAGATCTTTTCTCAATTCCGTATAACAGTACTGAAGCCATCGCGACAAAAACAACCCAGATTTTTTACCTACCCGTGTAGGCCATAACGCCACTAGGCTCAGCTAGAAGTTAAAATGGCAATGCAATCAAATCGCAGAGCGAGATGTGGTGACAATGAAACTATGCAAGTGACATTTACATCCAAAAGTAAAACATTTTTATGTTAATATTGGACAATATATCATTTATAATAGGCCCCAAGGCCAGACCTCTAGGGTCACAATAATATGCTAAATTATAGGGGATATAATCGCCCAGGTTAAATTATTTGAACCCAGCATCAGCGGTATGCTCTCTTGATATTAAAAAAAAAATCACCCCATAGTTGATGATGCTATGTTATTTTTTTTCTGTTTGTCATACAGCACATGACTGGGAGAAGGGGTCTCAGCAAACGTTGTTTTGATAACGCGACTGTTTTAGTTTAATTAGTTTTAATGACGAAACTTGTCTCAATTTTGGAGCCGTTTGGTCGTAGGTGAGTAGTTCGGGTCAGCTCAGAGACTGGACAAGTGACGATGTTTTGTGCTTTTTTTTATTTAATTCTTCGTGTAATATATCCTAGTTAAGGATAAGGGCATTTTTTTGAAGTAAATGTAAACCACCCGCCCGGTAGGTTGGTGCCAGTCGTAAAAAAATTGTACATACGACTGAATGGTTCCAAATTTTGTGCACTGTAACGTGAGAATATTATATTCTAAGTTGTGTATTTTTATTTTGTAGTTGATGATATTTCTTGAAATATATTGTTGTCTTATTAATTATTTAGGTCTCCAGATAGTAATCTCCTGTAAGTATTATAATTATTATTATTGAAATTAGAAATTAAATTACATTTATTGGAGTTTTGTTTAATTTTATTTCTACTAAATTAGTAGAACTAGTAAGCCCGGTTTTAGTGTGTCAAACTGTAGAATAATATGAACATGTCTGACATCATTTAGCTGGGTCACCAATTTAGGTACCCCAAGCACAGATCATCGTTCTCGTCGTCTGCTTGCGACGAAGGGCTCGGCACGTAAATTAACCCACAAACACAGCCCGCTGAGATTCTGGTCGGATCTTCTCAATGGGTCGCGTGTCCGATCCGGTGGTAGATTCTGCGAAGCACTGCTCTTGCTAGGGTTAGTGTTAGTAACGACGTGAGATTTGAGCCCCGTGAGCTCGCTACTTGTTAAGATTACGCTAAAATGGTTTCTCAAGACCATCAGCTTAGGTAGGAAAAAAAGAGACCGTGTAGGGGTTTTTCATTTGACCTTACACTTGTTGCGTAATATGCATATGAGTCGTTCAACAAATGAATTTGATTCGTAGATCTATTGAAAACCAGCAAACAGTTGCCGCTTAAATTACAAAAAAGTCATCAAATCGTTGGAAAATAGGTTAATGAAATTCATTCCCAAAACAGCAGCTCTTGAGTTGTTAGGTCTCTTTTGGAGACGCTCGGGCGGCTCTTAGCAAATCCCACACTTCCTGGCTGAGCCTTTGCTCGCCCACCTGTCTTGGTGAAATTGCAAAGTCCTCCGGGCCACCAGTAATTCCTCATTCATAAAAAAAACCCGTTAAAAACGTCCAATTCTAAAACAGGTATGTAATTCGGTTTGGAATTAATTGTTGTTTATGGAGCACGTCGAAAAACTGGGTAATCACAGTGAAGCTTAGAGTATACATAAGCTTATCTGCCAAAGAATTCAGTCTGGAGAAAACGTTAAAAGACGAACTTTCTTCTACAAAAACTTTTGGACAAAGCTTTGAACTACCATACTTTGCTAAGTACTTACTGATTGCAGCATAATTGGCTAGCTACAATCCGCCCAAAGAAGACAAGAGATTAGTATGTATACATACTCTAAGGAGTGAAGTCTAGATTTTGAAAATCTTTAGTCTGCTCCGCTTGACGTAATGTCGAGTCATTTAATAGAATGTCAACTGTCAACATATTGTCAATGATATTTGAGTAGTCTTGACAACAGCTTGTTTTCAATAGGTTATAAACCTACATCAAACTATCGCAAAATTATTTACTTTCTTCATAATTCAGAGAAAAGTCATTCTAAGCAGTAGTCTTTTGTTTTTCAAGAAGTGGAATCCGTTCGTATTGTCCGTAATAAGATATTGTCACTGCTAACGTGTGAAAGGTAGGTAACCTTACAAAGGTCGATGACCTAATTTTTTACGTTTTTTTTTTGTTTAACAATTTTCAAGTCTGTAATTATCTACTTCTCGGGTATATAATAAACGATTTAAAGTGTACTTTAATTTATTTACTAGTATATAAATATTTTGTTTGTTTTAAATTTCAACTCTATTTTACGAAAATCAAAAATTTTGTTTTTGTTTTTTAACTAATGTTTGTATATTTTCTATGATCAAATTTGTTTGTTAACTATGTTTTCACAATTCACAATATTCAATTAGTGGACGAGGCAATTGTTGTTAAGCGTATTCTGGCATTCGTATTTCCAATAATATTATCTGTATTATCTGTAAGGCTGGTTTGTTGAATGACAATATCAACACAGAAATAATACAGAAACTTTGTGGTCCGGCTCAGGGATGTCGCGCGTGCATCTCGCACAAAAGGTCGTCGGCTCACGGTCACGTCACGGAAAACGTCTGTTGGCACTTGACTTTTGGTCGTGACGTAAAATTACAGTTGATTACTTATTGGGAAAAGGTAGATAGTCGATCGGGGCATAGCTATTAACATCAGACACAAAAGACACATGAACACACGGCCACAAAACTGAATGTATATTTGTTTTTTTTTTTGCTTAGATGGGTGGACGAGCTCACAGCCCACCTGATCTTAAGTGGTTACTGGAGCCCATAGACATCTACAACGTAAATGCGCCACCCACCTTGATATATACGTTGTAAGGTTTCAAGTATAGTTCCAACGCCTGCCCCACCCTTCAAACCGAAACGCATTACTGCTTCACGGCAGAAATAGGCAGGAATTTGTGTTGGTTTACGTTCGGGTTCGTGTTACGGTGTATACGTAAGCTACTGGTGGTGGGCGGATTTGTAAACCCACATGGATAGGTATCCCCATCTCGCCTATTTACTGTACGAAGCAGTCCTGTTTTCCGGCTTCAAGAGTTTTAACAGCCTTTACACAACGGAATTGAGGCTTCAAGCTCTCACGTCTTGTAGCGGGTGGCGCCAGTCAAGTTCAGTGTGCTTAGTCCGAGTTTTCTAATGTTCTAGGTAGCGTAAAAGTTAACTCAAATTTATATGGAGTTGGAACGTTTTGCCTGCGTTTGCCGCTAGAGCCGCTGTTAAATGGAATAGATCTTTTTTTTTTTTTTTTTTTAAAGCTTAGATGGGTGGACGAGCTCACAGCCCACCTGGTGCTAAGTGGCCACCGGAGCCCACAGACATCCACAACGCAAATGCGCCACCCACCCTGAGATACAAGTTCTAAGGTCTCAAGCACAGTTACAACGGCTGCCCCACCCTTCAAACCAAAACGCATTACTATAGATCTATGCTGCACGTGAAAATTGACGTCACTATACTAGTAGTACGTCTTTGTCTATAGAGATATGGAAACGTTACAACATTATTGTTTCTAAATAGCTTCAAATTTATTTTTGTCGATGACGAAACAAATCTAATCGTACTTAACAATACGTTCACGATTGACTTCTACGGTGATGGAATTTATTAAAAATCAAACCCGCAAAAATGTTAATTTGTGTAATTATTGGTGGCAGGACGTCTTGTCAGCCCACATGAGTGGGTACTACCACCCTGCCTGTTTCTGCCGTGAAGCAGTAATGCGTTTCGTTTTGAAGGGTGGGGCAGCCGTTGTATTGTAAAAACTGAGACCATAGAACTTATTGTGTCTCAAGGTGTGTAGCGGCATTTACGTTATAGACGTCTATGGGCTCCGGTAACCACTTAACACTAGGTGGGCCCTCAGATCGTCCCGCCATCAAAACAATACAATAAAATGATGGATAGTTATACGAGAACAAAACAAACATTTGTTTCTTCGTAAATCAATACGCGGTCGCCGCCTGTTTGATTAAAGCCAATTGCAATGCGAAATGACAAATAGTCAAATAAAGATAATGAATGTTGACGAACTCTTTATTTTATTGTAAAAACGCGTCAATATCATTGTGGGTTAACGTACTTGATAAGGCGGTCAGTTAGATATGTTCACGCTTTGAGATTTACTAATTGTACAGACAGTGCCACTCCTTAATGATAAAGATGTTACCGAAGTTCATTGACAAAATGTAGCAAGCGCACTTTATGACACGCGGTCAAAGTGTCAGTTGCATTGAAAAAACTTTTATCGTTACCTTGAGGTCGGAACACGATATATTGCGCCGGATCATATACGGCAAAATGGTGGAAAGTATCCATGCGAACTTAGGCCTATTATCATCACAGGAATTAAGTATTTTAGTAGGAACCATCTACGCTCCTAATTCCTGTGATGAGCTTGTGTTAATTATACTTTTAAGATTGATAAATGAGCTCACGGCGCACTTAATTTAAAGTGTTTGTCGCAGCATATGGACATGATGTACCAGACACGCTTCGAGATAGGTCTGGTTCACAACTTTGTTCCATCAAACTGCTTTCTCGCCCTCGGACCGCATTATAGCTTGGCAGCAGGAATAGGCGGGACGGTGGTACCTCTCCATAGCCGCTTACAATACACCCTACCACCAGTATAGTACCACACTTACCAACGTTTCGCATCATTATGATTTTCGCTTAGAATTTCTTGAACCGAAATCATTGGAGAAAATGTCGAAGTTTAAATAAAAAATGAAACTAAAAATTACAATTAAGTTTAATTAAGTCAATGACTCATATAAATCTAATAAAATATAACGTTATCATGTATTATATTTTGAGGTCGCAGACACAACCCACTGAATTTCTCGTCGAATCTTCTCAGTGGGTCGAGATTCTGACCTGATGGTAGACACAGCGAAGCATTGTTCTTGCTAGGGCTAGTGTTAGCAAGTTCTCCCAGGCTAGGCCTTGTGAGCTCAACCTACCCTCCCTACCCTACCCTACCCGTCCGCGGGTAATTAGAATAGCGAAATTAGGCTACCGACGATTCATCATCATCATCATTTCAGCCTATCGCCGTCCACTGCTGGACATAGGCCTCTCCAATAGATTTCCAGTGCGACCGGTCTATTGCCACCTGCATCCAACGAGACCCAGCGCTTTTACCGACGATTAAGTAGGGTCAAATAAGGGTGAAAGGAGCAATACACATTGCGAAAGCATCGTTTTGCTTTCACAGGTGTCTGTCCCGCTATACGCAGTGTAAATATTTCATAATTATGTTATTATACTAGCCGAGTCCCGCGATGTTAACCGCGGTTATTGTCGTACCGCGGGTGACGCCGCGGGGCGAAGCTAGTCAAAAAAGTAGCCTAAGTTACTCCTTATATCATCAGCGACCTATCAGTGAAAGTCCCGTCAAAATCGGTCCAGCCACTCCAGAAATTAGCCTGAACAAACAGACAGACAGACAAAAATTGCTAAAAAAAATTATTTTTGTGTACGTACTGTATATATATTCACATGCATGTAGTAAAAAGCGGTTATTTCAATATTACAAACAGACACTCCAATTTTATTTATGTGTATAGAAGATAACAACTGCTTATAGTGATATAAAGATTTTCAAGTGCACCGCAAGTATTACCTACGTTGCGGGTTTATCAAGCACTAATCAAATTACCCAAGTTATTATCCATCTACTATATATTTATGAAATGAACGAAAATTTCCGAATAAGCTTCGTAAATTGTTTACGATCTGTCTTCTTTATTCTTTCCGCGAAGTACATAATTACGCATACCGGTTATGAGAAGGTTAAGTAAGTTATATTGAATGCAACTGAGGCTTTAAATTCGTGTCTTGTGAGTCAATGTTTGCAGTTGCATTTGATAGTGGAATTTTTATAGTCCTTGTGTTAAAATAGTGAGGGTTTAAAAACAAATCAGCATGGGTAAAGAGATTTTGTTTTAAAAACATTAAAATCCACTTTCGCTTGAGGCTAATCAATAAATTATTAGATAACATTGAATTAACATGAACAATGAATAACATTTTTTACTGCTGGTAGGACCTCTTGTGAGTTCGCACGGGTAGGTACCACCACCCCGCCTGTTTCTGCCGTGAAGCAGTGATGCGTTTCGGTTTGAAGGGCGGGCAGCCGTTGTAACTATACTGAGACCTTAGAACTTATATCTCAAGGTGGGTGGCGCATTTACGTTGTAGATGTCTATGGGCTTCGGTAACCACTTAACACCGGGTGGGCTGTGAGCTCGTCCACCTATCTAAGCAATGATATAAAAAATAAAATAAAATAAAAACATTTCTCTTTCCAGTAATCCCGAACTATGCGTCTTATAATTCTCGAAGATGCCAGCATCGTTGCCGACTGGGCCGCCAGATTCGTTCTCCAGCGGATCACGCAGTTCGCTCCGGGTCCGGGAAGACATTTCGTGCTGGGCCTGCCCACCGGTGGGACGCCCCTCGGCATGTACAAACGGTTGATAGAGTTCCACAAGGAAGGGAAGTTATCTTTCAAATATGTGACCACTTTCAACATGGACGAGTATGTGGGTAAGGACTTTGATGATGTAGGTTTTTTTATACTGGATTTCTAGACAGTCGTCCACCTATTTTAGAACTATAATAGCGGACTGTTTTATTAACAACACGATAATGAGTATTAGAGGAGTTACTTCCACTGTATCCTTTTCCCATTATAGTCGATTATAACGTAAATGCGCCACCCACCTTGAGATAAAGTTCTAAGGTATCAGTATAGTTACAACGGCTGCCCCACCCTTCAAACCGAAACGCATTACTGCTTCACCGCAGAAATAGGCAGGGCGGTGGTACCCACCCGCGCGGACTCACAACAGGTCCTACCGCCAGTAATTACGCAAATTATAATTTTGCGGGTTTCATTTTGGTATGATTCCTCCATCGCTAGGTCTTCCCCGTGACCACCCCGAGTCCTACCACTACTACATGTGGAACGAGTTCTTCAAACACATCGACATAGAGCCGAGCAACGCGCACGTGCTCGACGGCAACGCATCCGATTTAGTGGCCGAGTGTCAACGCTTCGAGAAACTCATACAGGAGGCTGGCGGAGTGCATTTGTTCATCGGAGGTTGGTCTGAATTAAATATCGACGTTTGAAAGGCAAACGTGACTACGCGTCAATAACTGCTTTATACATAAATGATAGGCAATAACCGTATTCGTTGCGCAAAAAAAATATATTTCTAGGTCTATCAAAATCATTTCAATCCTATAGCTAGATTCGTTAAAATATATTTTTTTTCAGGTATTTCAGCTTTAGTCTACTGTAAAGTTCACGCATTGTCGTCGCTTAGTCACGTTTGCCTTTCAAGCGTCGATATGTATTGTTACGCGCTGTGGTTTCGGGATAAATAAAAGTTCCACCAAAGTACAACTTAAAACTGTATTTAACACCTGGAACACTCACAGAACAGTTTACAACTCATAATTCACTTCTCTCGTCTCGCTTCAGGTGATCTGTTCGCTGTGTCGCTTTTATAGTCGAGACGACATCCCTAGAATTATCGAGAACATTCTCGATAAGGCCAGATATGTGTTTCCGCTATTTGATAATAGATGGCGTTGTACTTCTCGAGTGTTCTCGGTTTTAATAGTTCTTTTGATATTCGTTTCTGCCATTCGACGATAGATGGCGTTACTCTTATCGGCGTAACAGTATCATACTTTGTCGTATGTAATCCATATATTTTAGTAGGTATCGCTTGTATCGGTACGTGAAGACGTTGACACGTTCTAAATATGACTACAGAGCTGTCATTTTGTTGGTAATCTATTTTCTTCTTCTTCTTCTTTGTCGTTTCCTCATTACTGAGGGTCGTGACCACCTTGGTCCAGTTTTTGCACCAGCTTCCTCCAATGTTGCCTGCATTCGGCCTGCTTAATGGCGCCCGGGACGCTGGTGTTTGTGGCCTCCTTGATAATGTCCGTCGACCTGGTTGGCAATCTTCCTCGACTTCTCTTTCCTTCCACGTGACCTACAACTATTAATTTTTCCAAGTTCTCAGGATTTTGACGGGCCACGTGTCCGAAGTACTTGAGGAGACGCTGCATACAGATTGTAGATAGACGGGTCTTGACGTTTAGCTCCTCGAGAATTGACACATTTGTTCGGCGCTCCGTCCATGATACGCCCAACATTTTGCGCCAACACCACATTTCAAATGCGTCAATTCTCCTTAGAAGCCTTATCTTCTCCATATTCTTGTACGCTTCTGAGACGTGGACCCTAAAGGCCCGTACCCGATCGAGAATCTATTTTAGGCTAACCTATAATTAAAATTTTAATGAAATTCATTTAATTCATATTATCGACTAAAATATTTGTTATTTTAGTTATGTGTTATTTGTTCTACACACACTTATCACATTTTATTATTATTCTCATTATCCTCTCGCAGGTCTGCTGGAAGAGATTTCTCAAAGAAATAAGCAGTGCCTTTGTACATAATTTTCCTATTACTCTGTACTGTGTCTTGTTTTCTGTGTGTACATAAATAAATAAATAAATAAATAAATANAAAAAAAACCTTGCGGGTTTATCAAGCACTAATCAAATTACCCAAGTTATTATCCATCTACTATATATTTATGAAATGAACGAAAATTTCCGAATAAGCTCTAAGGAGCTTCGTAAATTGTTTACGATCTGTCTTCTTTATTCTTTCCGCGAAGTACATAATTACGCATACCGGTTATGAGAAGGTTAAGTAAGTTATATTCAATGCAACTGAGGCTTTAAATTCGTGTCTTGTGAGTCAATGTTTGCAGTTGCATTTGATAGTGGAATTTTTATAGTCCCTGTGTTAAAATAGTGAGGGTTTAAAAACAAATCAGCATGGGTAAAGAGATTTTGTTTTAAAAACATTAAAATCCACTTTCGCTTGAGGCTAATCAATAAATGATTAGATAACATTGAATTAACATGAACAATGAATAACATTTTTTACTGCTGGTAGGACCTCTTGTGAGTTCGCACGGGTAGGTACCACCACCCCGCCTGTTTCTGCCGTGAAGCAGTGATGCGTTTCGGTTTGAAGGGCGGTGCAGCCGTTGTAACTATACTGAGACCTTAGAACTTATATCTCAAGGTGGGTGGCGCATTTACGTTGTAGATGTCTATGGGCTTCGGTAACCACTTAACACCAGGTGGGCTGTGAGCTCGTCCACCTATCTAAGCAATGATATAAAAAATTAAATAAAAAAAAAACATTTCTCTTTCCAGTAATCCCGAACTATGCGTCTTATAATTCTCGAAGATGCCAGCATCGTTGCCGACTGGGCCGCCAGATTCGTCCTGCAGCGGATCACGCAGTTCGCTCCGGGTCCGGGAAGACACTTCGTGCTGGGCCTGCCCACCGGTGGGACGCCCCTCGGCATGTACAAACGGTTGATAGAGTTCCACAAGGAAGGGAAATTATCTTTCAAATATGTGACCACTTTCAACATGGACGAGTATGTGGGTAAGGACTTTGATGATGTAGGTTTTTTTATACTGGATTTCTAGACAGCCGTCCACCTATTTTAGAACTATAATAGCGGACTGTTTTATTAACAACACGATAATGAGTATTAGACGAGTTACTTCCACTGTATCCTTTTCCCATTATAGTCGATGATAACGTAAATGCGCCACCCACCTTGAGATATAAGTTCTAAGGTATCAGTATAGTTACAACGGCTGCCCCACCCTTCAAACCGAAACGCATTACTGCTTCACCGCAGAAATAGGCAGGGCGGTGGTACCCACCCGCGCGGACTCACAACAGGTCCTAGCACCAGTAATTACGCAAATTATAATTTTGCGGGTTTCATTTTGGTATGATTCCTCCATCGCTAGGTCTTCCCCGTGACCATCCCGAGTCCTACCACTACTACATGTGGAACGAGTTCTTCAAACACATCGACATAGAGCCGAGCAACGCGCACGTGCTCGACGGCAACGCATCCGATTTAGTGGTCGAGTGTCGACGCTTCGAGAAACTCATACAGGAGGCTGGCGGAGTGCATTTGTTCATCGGAGGTTGGTCTGAATTAAATATCTGCGCTTGAAAGTGACTAAGCGACAATAACTGCTTTTTACATAAATGATAGGCAATAACCGTATTCGTTGCGCAAAAAAAATATATTTCTAGTTCTATCAAAATCATTTCAATCCTACAGCTAGATTCGTTAAAATAGATTTTTTTTCAGGTATTTTAGCTTTAAATTATTCTACTGTAAAGTTCACGCATTGTCGCTTAGTCACGTTTGCCTTTAAAGCGTCGATATGTATTGTTACGCGCTGGGGTTTCGGGATAAATAGAACTTCCACCAAAGTACAACTTAAAACTGTATTTAACACCTGGAACACTCACAGAACAGTTTACAACTCATAATCACTTCTCCCGTCTCGCTTCAGGTGATCTGTTCGCTGTGTCGCTTTTATAGTCGAGACGAAATCCCTAGAATTATCGAGAACATTCTCGATCATTCTCGGCAAGATATGTGTTTCCGCTATTTGATAATAGATGGCGTTGTACTTCTCGAGTGTTCTCGGTTTTACTAGTTCTTTTGATATTCGTTTCTGCCATTCGACGATAGATGGCGTTACTCTTATCGGCGTAACAGTATCATACTTTGTCGTATGTAATCCATATATTTCAGTAGGTATCGCTTGTATCGGTACGTGAAGACGTTGACACGTTCTAAATATGACTACAGAGCTGTCATTTTGTTGGTAATCTATTTTCTTCTTCTTCTGCTTCTTTGTCGTTTCCTCATTACTGAGGGTCGTGACCACCTTGGTCCAGTTTTTGCACCAGCTTCCTCCAATGTTGCCTGCATTCGGCCTGCTTAATGGCGCCCGGAACGCTGGTGTTTGTGGCCTCCTTGATAATGTCCGTCGACCTGGTTGGCAATCTTCCTCGACTTCTCTTTCCTTCCACGTGACCTACAACTACTAATTTTTCCAAGTTCTCAGGATTTTGTCGGGCCACGTGTCCGAAGTACTTGAAGAGACGCTGCATACAGATTGTAGATAGACGGGTCTTGACGTTTAGCTCCTCGAGAATTGACACATTTGTTCGGCGCTCCGTCCATGATACGCCCAACATTTTGCACCAACACCACATTTCAAATGCGTCAATTCTCCTTAGAAGCCTTATCTTCTCCATATTCTTGTACGCTTCTGAGACGTGGACCCTAAAGGCCCGTACCCGATCGAGAATCTATTTTAGGCTAACCTATAATTAAAATTTTAATGAAATTCATTTAATTCATATTATCGACTAAAATATTTTTGAAAAATGAAGTCGAAAGTCCTTATTGTATTATAATATAACCGCTGTGAACTCCTTCAGGGTATATCGGAAGGTCTAACTGCTTCGCGACAGAAAAATGCGGTTAATTCTCATTTATTACCCTTGTGGATTAAAAATGCAGGTATCGGTCCGGACGGTCACATCGCGTTCAACGAACCGGGCTCCTCGCTGGTGTCTCGGACGCGAGTGAAGACCCTGGCCTACGACACCCTGGACGCCAACAAGCGGTTCTTTGACAACGACATCAGCAAGGTGCCCCGACAGGCGCTCACCGTTGGAGTCGGAACTGTTATGGACGCTAAAGAGGTCAGATATTTTACATTACGTTTATTTAATCGAAGAAACCTATGTGCTTAGTGCGAGTTTCTTAACGTTCTTTCGTTCGTTTTGTTTTTTTACTAGTGGTAGGACCTGTGATGAGTCCGCGCGGGTAAGTACCACCACCCTGCCTACCCCTGCCTTAGAACTTATATCTCAAGGTGGGTGGCGTATTTACGTTGTAGATGTCTATGGGCACTTAACATCAGGTGGGCAGTTACCTCGTCCACCCATCTAATAAATATAATAAAAATAAAAAAAGTTGTCGATAGCGTAAAAGTTAACTCAATTTTGTATGCAGTTGGAACAGCGCCCCTAGCGGCAAACGTACGCAAACGACCCCATTCCATACAAATATGAGCTAACTTTTACGCTATCTAGAACGTTAAAAAACTTGCACTAAGCACACTGTAGTTGATTTTTATTATAGCCAAAAAGCTAATTTTAAGTGTGTCGTTAAAATATAACACTGCAACTGCTGCTAACTCCGCTTTGCTGATCACATGTCCGTAGCTAAATGGAGTCAAGCAGGATATCAAGTTTGTACGTGCCGAATTTTGAGGTATCGGCTGCGGTGGATAAGCCGCGATCAGTATTGATCTTTACTGTTATAAAACTAACCAGAGTGTACATTGTTTGTTCGTCCGAGCATCACTCTAAATGTAGTCAAGTCTGAAGTCGTCGTGGCCTAAAAGATAAGACGCTACATTCGTATCGAGCGATAAGACTGTGCCGGCGTTCGAATCCCGCTGGCAGGTACAAGGAATCTTTCAAATAAAATACGTACTTGACAAGTGTTCACAATTGACTTCCACAGTGAAAGAATAACATCGTGTAATAAAAATCAAACCCGTAAAAAATATAATTTGGTAATTACTGGTGTTAGGGCATCTTGTGAGCCCGCACGGGTAGGTACCACCACCCTGCCTATTTCTGCCGTGAAGCAGTAATGAGGTTCGGTTTACAGGGCGGGGCAGCTGTTGAACTGTAAAAACTCTGACTTAGAACTCAAGTTTCAAGATTCAAGGCAGTGGCGTTAACGTGGTTAATAATAATTATAATTAAACATAATCATAACCTAAATATTAAACAGCCCATAATAAAACATACTTATATATATAATCATTACACTTTTAAGTTATTGTCTCATTTGAATTTCACGTAAAACTGTGAATCCACATATCGTCTTTTCGCATTAAAAGTGTATAATTTCCAAAAATATTCGAAATTGAGTTAATATGCGGAATCATTTGGTATCACCAATATTTTTCTCATAAAGAGAATCTTAAAAGAGGCTTGTGGAGAGTATTAAGCGGTAGGCAGCGGCTTGGCTCTGCCCTGGCATTGCTGAAGTCCATCAGGTGGGCCGTATGCTCGTCTGCCTACAAGAGCATCAAAAGAGCGTAGTTTAGTTTTAGTTTTTTTTTGAGTTTACCTACTTATGTTTTGACCTATTAACCTATTATTACCTACCTATTAATAAAATTAATACATAATTTTATCTTACTTTAAAAGACAGATAATGTAACTGGTAAAAAATAAAAAATAAATGTTGCAAAATTGATTAATATTAAAAATATCATAATTACCTATGTTAAACCTTTAAAACATACTCCTGTAAAATTAGTAAGTTTTCAGATCAAACAGTTTTAATGCGTGAAGACGATGTGACATATTTCATCGCGACTTGTCTCCGAGTGATGCTCTATTATTTTTGACTCTACGTCGCAGGTCATGATCCTCATAACAGGAGTGCACAAGTCCTTGGCGCTTGCCAAGGCTGTGGAGGAAGGCGTGAACCACATGTGGACGGTGTCGGCCTTCCAGCAACATCCTCAAGCGCTTTTCGTGTGTGACGAAGACGCCACACTCGAGTTGAGGGTCAAAACAGTTAAATACTTTAAGGTTAGTGGCGCTTTTTTTTCTTTGTCTTATTATTATCATAAAAGGTAAGTTCTTCGTTGTTAGCCACTAAATTTAGTATTGAAAACAAGAATAAATATGTAAATGATTAACTAAAGAATTATTAATAATTTTTTTGACGTTAAGTGTGATTGATGTAAGTGGCAACCCAGGTTCACGTTGAAAATATGTGACCTTTCGCTAGTTTTGTAATATGGCTGCCCTTAATACAAATCCAGGTATTAATCGAAAATATCTATTAGGATAGGATATCTACTAACAGGATGGTGCGAACATAAAATATATAAATAAATAATTAAATATAAAATCATGTTTTGCCTTTACATTGCAAATGCTACATAAAAAACATAAAAAGGAGGGGATGAAAAGGCAAAGGCTTTAACTAAAGCTTTTCGGTATAGATAATTGTAAATGTTAGTTGCACTATACTTAGTTATTATCTACGTCGCAAGGAAAATTTGAAATTTGGTTAATGCATGTTTTCTTACATAATAGGCTAATAAAAATTTTGATTAAACTGTAAGCTAATTGGGTGCACGGTTTGTATGCGCGGGGTACACTCAGTCCACTAATTTCTGTAATAGCTTCGGTGATTGCTAAACTAACTCTTATGGAGCAGGAAAATCCACGCAATTGTTTCTAAAAAAATTCAATAGATTTGGGATAACTAAAAACAGTTTTTGGGGCGCGATTAATTTTAGATTATCTATGAAATCTATTTCTTCTGGCTTTTGTAAAATATTTTTGGTATATAAAAAAATACAATACATATATTAAATGCATATTTCATTACGAATGTTTTTTGCCTGTGTAACGAGTTTAATTTAGTAATTATAACGGTAGGTATGTCAAATAGTTTTTTTTAAATATTAAGTTAAGGGATTTATGTATAGAGTTATAGTCAGATTAAATTTATGATGAATATTGATTTTTAAGACAATATTTACTACGTTTGATATACGGTCTGAGTGTACACGTGTGCGTGTGGTGTGACAGGCGCTGAGCGAGGAGCACCAGAAGATGATAGCAGACGCCCCAGTCGAAATACAGCACATCATCCACTGATCGTCTCCGCTCGACGAGGGATGATACCTACATTATTTTACCTTATTTCTTTCTCATTAGTTTTTAAAAGTATTCCTAGACATTAGAAGCATAACGACGGATATCCACAATACAAACTTATCAAATAGAATACTTCAAAATGTGTTTAGTTTTAATCAAGGTATTCGAATCAGATAAAGGCATTTTTTGGAAAAAAATATACGATCTTATGCTTTTGATGTCTACATTTGTACAAGATGCAAAAACGTTTTGTTAATCGAATGGACGGAGCTCACTCTGTGTATGAAGTGTCCGACTTATAGCGTGTAATTAACGTGGCGCGAAAAATTTCATCTCTGCACACTTAGTCTTCACTCCATTTAAAACTGCTACATTCATATCATACCAGCTATTTATCTGGATTTTTGAGTTGTAATTTTCTGCTTACTTACAGCTAGACACTGTTCTTCTTATCTCCTCATTTAAGATACTAAATCTCTTAACTCCACCCTCCATAGCTAAATACAGAGGCAATTAACGCACTAGGCCGCACGTGTTGTAACAATTATTGTCACACGGAATTTTACGTTCGTCTAATCTTTTCAAGGTTTCAACTTTTTAAAAAGACAACTTCTGTCTTATTGAAACTCATGAACACTAAAGCGTTTATAATCATAAGATAATTTTGGTGCTGTGATTAATTAAAAATTGATGAATTGTGAAGATTAAATAGAAAAAGCGTGCCTTTGAAAGTCAAAAGATGTTTCGAAATTAGTTTTTTATAGTTGGATAGACAATGTGTAACTTTTTGTATAGTGCAAAGCACAAAAACCTATTTTTATTCCTTTTCCATTACAGAGTTTAATGGCGGAACACAATAAACTGATAGAAGCAAAACAATGAGACACATTCCATATTTAGTTGTAAGGACATGGTGAAAAACATTATGCTTGTATATTGTACCTATGTATCATTTATATAATAAAAACAATGCGGTTACCTAATTAAAACAGTCTTTTTTAATTTTTAATGCGCTTTTATTAGCTTCATACGTATGTATGTTTGTAACGGAATCTTTGATTATGATTTTAACCCCCTTTAAAACGTAGGGTTAACTCGAAAGGTATACTTATTATGGACCGATGACAATATAATAAATAAAAAAAATTTGAAAAAATTGAAATTCAACAAATAAATAAAAAATAAAATTAAAAAAACTAACAAAATACGCTTTTATAGAAAATCTAAATAAAAAATTGAATAATAGTTTTTTTAAACTATTTTTATTTATTTATTGTAGGTGCTTGCTGTGACATCGCACAGCTGTTAATCAATACAATAGTAACTTCGAGCTCATGTCTCCGGGTGGGTTGGGGAATCCACGTCTTGTTGTGTGTGATGTTCGCTGACAACCTAACCCCGGGTGGGCCCCTCCCGCCTCCCGCCACCCGTCTAATGCGATAACAAAACTGTGACCAGTATTGAAGCTCAGTAGCAGACAGCGGCTACCCTCCACAGGCCATTCGAATAATGGAAGTAGCAATATGGATTACTAAACCAGGCAATAATGGTTACCCCATAATGGAACCATATATATTTTAATCTGACGCGCTCGAGTATTTCAAAAAGGCGATTTTTTTTTTGCACATTATAATAATGGCCACGAATTTGCGTCACATCGAAATCATCAGATTATTGAATGAGAGCTTTTTTAGGTTCACTTAACACCCCCTTAGAAAATCTGACGCGCTCGATTAATTTTTTTTTTTCATTTTCAACCCTTACCTACGACCACCAACACCATGCAAACGATCAGATTAACATACATACATTATTAAAAATACGTAGGACATTGATGCTATCAATATCCGACGCGCTCGATTATGTCCATGCAACAGTATTTTTTTACATTTTTTAAAATCTATAGCCGCTCCCCCCACCTATGAAAACGTATACATTATATAACATTTTTTTCTTCTTATCATCTAAGCTTTGCATCCCAATAGGTCTCTATGACGCTCGAGTAAGCCCCCATTTAGCATCGTGGGCTCCCCTATTATGTGATGGCGTCATGGCAACCGAAATCAGAGTAGGGACGGAGTGAGAGTAATAGATAGAGAAAGAGTGAGAGGGGAATAGAAACGCGGAGAGGGGAATATAGGCATCACGCAGCTGCACGCATTAAGCTTTATCGACCAATTTTTGTTACTTCGGCTTGTAGAAATGGTCAGATCATTTAATTTTCGTTATCCTGGAATTATTTCCTACTTCAGCCACGCTTGAGAATGTCGAGATGACGTTTTTTTCTACAACTTTTCCGCCCTCCCCTTTCTTCACGTCACTCTCAAATTGTCAGATTAGTGGAATATACTCTTTTTAGCATGTAATTAACTCACCCTACCTTAATCTGACGCGCTCGAGATTTTCTGATGATCGTTTTTTTTTACTAATCTGATCCTTTACCCTGGACGCGCGGTCTTATATATGGGGGCTCATATTTGGTGGAGGTACTCAAACGGGTACAAGGTATCCCACTGTATATTAATCTGCCGCGCTTTAGTAAATCCCGAAATCCCCGCTTAGGCTCCCCTGCTACTACGCGAATGCGTTCGAGTACCGCGCATTCACTCTCGCTCTGTCTCTTTCTATTCCCCCTCCCCAGGAACGTTAAACGTTTAACGCAACCTTGTTGGAAGTCGCATTAGAAGTTTCACTTCAAAAAAAATTTGTATTAAATTTAAAGAGCTGCACTGTTTATAAAAAAATGTTTAATTCTTAAATTTAATCCCACATCGAACATTTACTTGACACATAATTCTTTAATAACGCGACGTAAGCGTGGACTTCACCACTCCGGGTCACCGCCGGCAGCCACCCTGCACATCCTGGCGAGGAGACCGGCCAGCTGCAGGGGAGACGAAAGACCATCTGCTACCCTCATGTGTGTCAAACCAATCTCTCTGATGAAAGCCAGTTTTAACTCTTCAGATATATCTAAAGTTTTGCAAACTCTGAATATGTTACTGACTATGTCCTCTGCTGCGTAGCCAATCTTGCAGAGTTTTGCTATAACCTGTTTAAAAGACAAGAGGTTATTAAATCATGCTCTTTTTCGTATCATCCGTTACTATTGATGTTTGGTGATTACTGGAGCCCATGGTCATCACAATGACAAGGCCGCCCAATATACCTAAGACGTGAGGTTACAGTATGAATTGTGTTGGAATTATGAGGAGAAATAGTATACTTTGAGGTTTTTTTTATTTCTTAGGTTGGTGGCTAATGGCTGACCTGGTGTTAAGTGGTTACTGGAACCCATAGACATCTACAATGCAAATATCCACCCACCTTGACATATAAGTTTTAAGGTCTCAGTAAAGTTACAACAGCTGCCCCGCCCTTCAAACCGAAACGCATTACTGCTTCATGGCAGAAACAGACAAATTGGTACTTGACAGCGGGATTCAAACACCGGTGCATTGCTATATGTGAATGCACCGAACATCTTATCTATTAGGCCACGACTTTTAGATAGTATTGTGCCAACACTTGCTTTATTCAGGTTGCCTGATAGATGGTTAAATGATAAAAATCATATACCTTGTAAGCCTCATGTATATCCTGTTTAGTGCAAGCTTCAAGCATCTGCCTGACCACCATCGGATGTGGTTCATCACACACTTTGAACACATTGTCCGGGCTGATGTGACCAAAACCCTGGGCTGTTGACTGCAGGTTGTTCAGGGCTGATCGCAAGTCCCCCTGTGCTGTGAAGACTACTGCACTCACACCTTCTTCAGTGTATGATAGGTTTTCTTTATTGCAGATCTCTATAACCTGTAAAAATGTTTACTCATATAAATTAAAAAATTCAACACAAGTTATTGGAATTGTAGTTTTGTGAAATTAGTAGCTCAGAGAGTTTACTAGTGAAACATAGTCTAGTTTGACTATTGTTAATTGTATATTTATTTTAATATGGACATTCTTAGTTTCACTATATTTGAAACTCATTTTTGTTTGAACTTATAATGTTGAACAGTGTTTTCCAACATATAACCTTTGCTAGTATCTGTGCATCACTAAGCCTGGAGTACCGGAGTACAGCACACCTAGATTGTATGGGTTCTATTATCTTCTCACTATTATTGGCTGCTAATGCAAAACGAGTTGTACTGGAATACAGCTCCATGGTGCGTCTTAATGCTTGTTGAGCTCCGTCAGTCATGCTGTCCGCTTCATCTAGTATCACTATTTTATGTCGACCAGGTGGCAAAGTAACCTGAAAATGGATTTAAATGTATTTTTCCATAGTACACGAGGGGCAGTTGAAAAGAAACAAAATTTTAGCTTATCTTATGAATTTGATATAAGCCTCAGTTTCCATACATTTTGACACTGTAGTCACTATACTCTTAACAGTATTGTACTATAATCGTTGTAATAACACAAATAATGTCAATCTTCAATTTGTCTGCTTGTCAGCCACATGAGCATAGTAAAAATTATTTTTTCATTCCTTATCACCAGAAATATATAAACAACTTTACTGTTTTCAAAAATCTTTTTTTTTTGCAAATTCATTACTTTTATGAGTATCAATTAGATAATCAAGTCTTAATCCTATAAATTAAACTGTTGATTACAAATGCTTACAGAGAAGCTATTATTTTATCTATTCTGCATTACCGAGCAGCTTTCACAAGAGCTGATTCTAGCATGCAATTAAGTACAAACCTTTTGTTGCGCAAACATTTTTATCTTATTCCGGACGACATCTATACCACGATCATTTGAGGCGTTTAGTTCTAATACGGCGTCTTTGAATGATACTCCGAGGAGAGCTCGCGCTAAGCATAGTATAGTCGTCGTCTTTCCAACACCAGGAGGTCCAGCTATAATAATGTTAGGAGCATTGCCGGTTTTAGCAAAGACGGCTAAGCGGGACACAGTGTCTTCATTGCCGACAATATCGTCGAAAGTTTGTGGCCTGTATTTCTCTATCCATGGTAAATTTGTAGATTTACTAGAACTAGGTTTTACTTGTTTCTTCTCCGGTTCGTCTACTTCCATTATCACGATATCATCATCATCCATTATTAAATTCAGACCAAAATGCTCAGATATTTAATTAATTCAATTTAAATTCTTAGATATTTTTTTTTTAAATTCGGTAGTTTTTATTCTTTTTTTCAAGATCTTATGGCCTTGTAGCAACAAGACCTTTAGGCCAATCTTATATTTTCTTCTTATATTCTGTTTTAATATGAAATGAACATTAAAAAAGTGAGATGAAGTTGATTAATTTGAGATTTCAATCAATTGAAATAAATCGGGATCAGAATTGAAATGAGTTTAAATATTTTCTTAGTAAAATGGTGGTTGTTTACTGCGACTTTTTGGAAGAACCCGAGATGCTACGTGCAGCAGCTTTGTTTCAATTTTCCATATTTGGACACTTTCGCAGATGCGAAGCAGATAAACTACTCTTATTATACACGTAAATCTAAAGAAAAAACGAAATGAACAAAATAAAACAATCAAAGAATTTCACTCGTCGTATTCCAGCCAATAATAAGACCCAGTTTTTTCAGACCATAGTTTTTATTTATTTCGTACCTATTCTAGTAAGCTGGAGGGATTATTCTAGATTCACCGAATTAGTAAGTGAGTTCACGGGACTCAAACCTGACGACGTTGCAAACACTAACCCTAGCAAGAGTAGTGCTACGCAGAATCTCCGGATCGGAAACGCGACCCACTGAGATGACACGGCGAGAAACTCAGTGGGCTTCCCAATAATATTATAAATTAAAATAAGACATGACTTAAAGGTCTTAGTTACCAGGTCATAAAATCCATTGAAAAAATAATATAGATAGACAGATGACGTCTGACTATGTCAAATTTTCGGGAGAGTGAAATAGAAATTGTTTTCTTTTGAATTTCGTCTACGTATCATTCCAAAGCGTAAACAATAAATTGTAGTAACTTTAAACTTTTTAATTATATTACTGGTATTTGCACCTGATAGTGAAGAAAAAAATATATAATAAATTAGTTGCTAACCCCTGAGACTTGTGATGGTGAATCATCACTCCAAATAAATAGTTGAATATTTGTCTGTTCGGCTACATTCAAATTGTAAGGTATGTTTCTCGCTTTTTTGTTTTATAAAATGTTATTCGCCTTTGTTTAAAATAGAAGGCTCTAATTCTTATTGGCAATAAACCTAAATATTATAATGTTAAGGATTGAGATCCTACAAGGAGGTTGAAAATCTGTCTTGTTCCTAAAAAGAGTTTATTCAATAAAACTATTATGTTAGGATAAATTTAAAGTATCCTTTTCTGTAAACATAAATAAGGATGTAGATTTGCCTAATAGGAACTTAAGGAGCTTCATTCATCACAAATCTTTGTGTACAAGAACAGCTTCAACCTTAACTTAACATTTCAATAATTTAACTATATTTTTGGTGCCGACACATACGATACCAGCTTTTCTGGACTTCTGACACATGTTAACACTAATATAAATCATCATCATCATCATCATCATTATCAGCATATAGCACAGTTATAGATGTCTATGGGCTCCAGTAACCACTTAACACCAGGTGGGCTGTGCGCTCGTCCACCCATCTAAGCAATAAAATAATAATAATAAAAACTCACAAAGTTATTATTCTTAATCAATGGATGTATATTTGTTACTCTTTCACACAAAACCTACTGAATGGATTTTGATGGAACTTTACAATAATATATCTTACACATCAGAATAACGCATAGGCATAAAGATATATTGTGAATTATCCAAAATATAAAAAGAAGTGTCAAGTAAGTAGGAAAAAAAGTTATCTTATTTTCATAATGAATATTAAATTAAATGTTCCTGAAGTGAAACAAGGGTGGGACACTAGTATAAATGGTTAATAATAATAGTAAAATCTATAAATGGTTAGGACATAGGAAAATTAAATTTTGTTTTATTTCTAAATCTCTAGAAGCACACACTCTAAGTTATGATGGAGTGGTTATTTGGTCACAAGATGACTCCAGATGAGATGCTGCGCAAGAATCAGCGAGCTCTCAACAAGGCCATGAGAGACCTGGACCGTGAACGAATGAAAATGGAACAGCAAGAGAAGAAGGTCATTGCTGACATTAAAAAGCTAGCTAAAGAAGGACAAATGGTTTGTATGATAATTATTCATTAATAGTGGAACCTCTTGGTCTGTTTGGTCTTAAATGGCCACCATGGCTCATATATATCTTAATGTTGGTTAGTGTGAATGCTGACCACTCACTTGAAAACCAAAGGACAAATTCATTTTACATGTAAATGGCAAGCTATGCACTTCTTAACTGTGGAATGCACACCAAACTGTAGGCTTCCACCTTGCTCAGACAATTGAAACTATGACATAACATATCTACTATGTATGATCAGGTATAGTTATATTTTGACCATCCACCTACTAAATCATGACCCACCCTGGTTATATCTTCAAAAATGGTAGATGAGATCGGAAAATCAAAATAGAAATAGGTGTCCAGTGAGGATACTAGATCTGTAATGTGCTAAATTGACTTGGACTGTGTGAAAGAGAATATGTGAGGGAAGGGTGTAAGTGTAGAGATAATGTATGCCAGTATGTTGGTCAGATTGGAAAAAGAGGAGATGCTGCTCGATGCCAGATAGTGGGATAAAGGCAAGAAGACGAAGGATACTAATGCTGAGAAATGATCAGGCAGTCTTACTTAACTGTTCACATGAGGAATCTTCAAGTTCATTATATGCTTAGATTATATGGACACTAAATCTTTTTCATAAATTTAATTTTACAGGATGCTGTTAAAATCATGGCAAAAGACTTAGTACGTACCAGACGATATGTCCGCAAGTTCATGCTAATGAAAGCGAACATCCAAGCGGTGTCACTGAAGATACAAACTCTCAAGTCTCAAAGCACCATGGCGCAGGCGATGAAGGGAGTCACTCGTGCCATGGCTACCATGAACAGACAACTAAACATGCCACAGATACAAAAGATATTACAGGTACATATACATATTACATAGTATAAATCAAAGTCGCTTTCTCTGTCCCTATATCCCTATGTATGCTTAAATCTTTAAAACTACGCAACGGATTTTGATGCGGGATTTTTTTAGTAGATAGAGTGAGTAGAGAAAGGTTTATATGTATAATAACATCCATTAAATGGTGGAGAAATCAATAATAAATTACAGTTTCCGAAGCGAAGCGAGGGCGGGTCGCTAGTAAAATATACATTTATGTAATACAAATACGTTAAGTAATTGTAATATAATAAAATACAGATAAATATATAGACAAAAATAGCTATCACTTTCTAGCAGATGGAATTATAATATTTCAACGGAACATTCAATTTTCAGGAGTTTGAAAAGCAGTCTGAAATTATGGATATGAAGGAGGAGATGATGAATGACTCCATCGATGAAGCCATGGAGGGAGACGATGATGAAGAAGAAAGGTAATAAAATTGAAGTTCTTTTGGTATAATGATTTTAATGTTTAATGTTTCTTAATGTTTTCTGTCATTATCTGTGAAGTAATTTTGCTGTGAGTAAGCTATCCACTCTATGATATAGTAGCATTAAATCTATACATCTCTGTTTCTAGCTTTGTATAATATAATTGAAACTGACCTCATGTCTCAAAGTCAGCTGTAGCAATCACGTTGTGATGTCTACGGATTGCGGTGACCACTTTAGGTGAGCTCGTTCACCTGTAAATGCAGCAAAAATATTGCCTTTAATAATATTTTTACTGCTGGTAGGACCTCTTGTGAGTCCGCGCGGGTATATACCACCACCCTGCCCATTTCTTCCGTGAAGCAGTAATGCGTTTCGGTTTGAAGGGTGGGGCAGCCGTTGTATCTATACTTGAGACCTTAGAACTTATATCTCAAGGTGGATAGCGCATTTACGTCGTAGACGTCTATGGGCTTCAGTAATCACTTAACACCAGATGGGCTGTGAGCTCGTCCACCAATCTAAGCAATAAAAATATACATATATATATATTAAGGTACTTGTGATTGTTCCAGTGACGCCGTCGTGTCACAAATCTTGGACGAGCTGGGTCTGCAGCTGAACGACACGCTGTCCGGGCTGCCCCAGGCCACTGGATCTCTCTCTGTTGCCGGTAACTACTTTATTTCTACAAAAGCAGTAAAATTTGCAACTTCTCTTTCAGTACACAGATGTCCACAGCTGAACGTAGGTTCCTCCAAGCATTGCCTCAGCTCTGCAACTTGTGTGCTTAACCATAGCCATAGCAGCATGAACTTAAGCAGTAAAACAGTTTTAACAATGGAAAGCAACGCTTCCATGACTCTGAAGTTGGTCACGGCATGACTGTAAACGTGAGGGTGTGTGGAGTCCCGAGGGGGTCGAGGCCGCGGTCTCCCGTGACGCCTGGCGTGGAGCTGTTGACATTGCTCGGGCGTCCTAGGGGGCTGCGTGTCTGCTTGTAGTGTTGATCACCAACCTATCCTCAGCCTAGTTCTGTCTCGGGCTTGATTGAATATCAGTGATTGTCAGAGCTCAGTCAACAGCAGTTTTTTTATTTTATTTTTTTATTGCTTAGATGGTTGGGTGTTAAGTGGTTACTGGAGCCCATAGACATCTACAACGTAATTACGCCACCCACCTTGAGATATAAGTTCTAAAGTCTCAGTATAGTTACAACGGCTGCCCCACCCTTCAAACCGAAACGCATTACTGCTTCACGGCAGAAATAGGCAGGACGGGGTGGTGCCTACCCGTGCGTACTCACAAGAGGTCCTACACACCAGTAGGGAGGATCTTCTCAAAAAGATCGTGCATCGTGCATTGATGCACACAGTTGCGCTGAGCATGGTGGTGATGACGTGGTCGTGTGTTGCAGCGAAGACCCCGGCGTCCCCGACGGCGGTGGCGGGCGGCGCCGGAGCCCCCGTGTCGGACGCGGACGCCGAGCTGCAGGCCCGCCTCGACAACCTGCGCCGCGAGTAGCGCCCACCACCTCCCAACACGATGCGACAAACGTTACGTCTCAAGCTTCTGTTTTGAAGTCTGCTATAATACATTAACTCTATGAAAAGTTAGAAATAGTATTACACAAGATTCGTCCTGATCACAGGAGTGTACTCGCTTAAATAAAACCGTACTGTTCAAATTGCTAATGTGCTTAGGCTCAGAAGCAAATTTGAGCCCCGTTCGTGGCGGTATCGCCGCGGCCGGGGGATCGCGGGGTTCGTGGGGGGCTGGGGACCGGGGGGTCGTGGAGGGCTGCCTCGCAGGACACCTTGTAAAACGACCCTTAACTCCTCGTATGCAGTTCAGAGTTAACCTGCTGTATAAAAGCCGGCACCATCTCCCGGACGACTAAGTTAGCCGGACTATTTCTTATGCCTCAGACGGACGATTTAACTATATATTTAGTTTTTTTCATGACTCGCAACAAGGCTGCCTCAAGGACAAACATTCATTTAGTTCAGTTCATGAACATCAAACGATTTCTAACACCCTGTATATACAGGGCTACCATATTATGTACTAGCGACCCGCCCTCGCTTCGCTTCGGAAACTGTAATTTATTATTGATTTCTCCACTATTTAATGGATGTTATTATACATATAAACCTTCCTCTTCAATCACTCTATCTATTAAAAAAAACCGCATCAAAATCCGTTGCGTGGTTTTCAAGATTTAAGAATATATAAGGATATAGGGACAGAGAAAGCGACTTTATATTATGTAGTGATGGTAGGTTTTCAAAAATGTTAAAATATGGTTTTAAATAAATCAGAGTAGTTGTCGACGCACGGACGATACAGCGCGTTTTGTGATAATAATTATGAATGCTAAACTGTAATATTAACGTTGAGTGTTCATAGTGTAAATTGTCACTAAACATATGAAGGAGTCATTGAAAATACTATTTTATTAACACACTAAACTAAATTTCAAATACAAAAATGTATTGTAAAATAGAACATCGAATTGGAAATAGATGACAATATACATTTTTATGTGTCAATAACAAAATGAAAATCGTTTTAATACAGAGCATACGAATGGAGGTAGTTTAACCCTGTTAGTGCTGAGTTTAATTTCACATATTTTGCAGAAATTGTTGAATTGGATTTTAAAAAAAAGTATTTACTTTATAAAAAACTTTACTTTATAAAAAATTACAAAAATCAGTCCTAAATTCACAGCAAAATAATTTTAAATATTTATTTATAAATGTTATTAACTTACTAAAAACGTTATACATACGTATGCGCGCTAAGACACATCCATACATGTCGATACTTGTAATCAAACTGTGCAATAGTCGGTATTCCGACGCTCCGCACTTTAAACGCTTTAGCAGAGTCGATCTATCGACGGCCTGCGCTCTAAGGCTTAAAAAACAAATGTGGGAAGATTTAACTTACAACATTTTAAATTAACAAAATCACAATATGTCAATCAACTTTTATTGTAAAACTAACGTTTATTAATCTGTGCACAAAAAAATGGAATACTGCTAATATGTATGTATGTACAGGTAATAATTAAATAATAAAAACTAGAAATAAATAGTCCCTGGTCAGGAACGAAGAAGCCGTGGTGTGTTGTGCAGACTCGACGGCACTTAGGGCTGCGACTGACATCTTTATTGCGAAGCGTCTTATTGTTTTTCATTTTAGTTTTTTATATCAACATATTTAGTAATACTTTTGATTTGGTTATTCACAACCGAAAAAACTTCTACTTATATCTCATGAAACAAGATGTGCACTTATCTTTTATAAAGCAGCTTATTCCCATTCGGAATTGAAACATACATATATCCCTTAACGCATCGCACATGTGGCCAAGCTCTTGCTAAATAACACACTACCCATTACCTAGCTTTCCACATGTGTCCTATGTGAATTACATCAATGGAGAGATTATTTTGTGCCGTTGATTTTTGGAAATTCATCGGCAAATTTCATGATCTATTTGCGGAGTCCCTCGTGGATTTGGTAGGGTTGTCACTTCAATCGAAGCTCATTGTGAGTGCATTTCCCTGGATCTTTGGTCATTTTTCTTTGACTGAACTGGGAGGGTGTGTGGAGGCTTAAACGATAAAGGGAAGATCTTCCACCGAGCGGGTGATATTGCTCGGTAGACCGCCGGTCCGAATGTTGTTGTTCGGAACTTGTATATATGCGAGCTTATCTTGAAAATGTCGTAAGCGAGATTCAGGTATTTGTCAAATATCTTGCGTTGTATGATGGCTAACCCGCCACAGGTGGTTTTGTGCGGTGTTGTAAGTGAGAGGGTGTAACCACACTAGCGCGGGCCGCACTCGTCGTCGTCTGTGTGTTACGTGACGTAGTTGATTTACTATACGTCAACGAATCTAAACTTTACTGGTAATATAAAAATTCTATTTTATGTGTCAGAGGTTTATATGATAAAAAGTAATGTGAATTAAGCCTTTTAATTTTTTGCCTTTCTAAAAATTTATTGTAAAATGTTGTAGATAGCTTAGTTCTGTTCTTGTTGTAGATAGCGGTAGGCAGCGGCTTGGCTCTGCCCCTGGCATTGCTGAAGTCCATGGGCAACGGTAACCACTCACCATCAGGTGGGCCGTATGATCGTCTGCCTACAAGGGCAATAAAAAAAAAAGTTCTGAAACTTATAGTATCAAGAAAATATTGCAGTCTTATGTACCTAATACAATATATGTATAATGAAATAAGTATGTAATATTAATATAAAAATATGATTGTGTTCTCGAGTCACTGGCGGCGATGTTCGTGATGTATTTGTTTAAATACGCCTTCGATGTTTGTACACATTGTTAATTATTACATTGTAATATAATAAGTTTACGATAATAAAGTATATTTTATTTAAAAAAAAACATTTTTAATTGAGAGTATATTATGTGCTATCCTCCAACGTTTTTATGCGGGCGCGTGTTGCTAGCATGGCTCTGTGAAGTGTTAACGAAAAACAGACCGACAAAACAGTTCACGAATCACCTTTTTTTTATTGCTTAAATGGGTGGACGAGCTCACAGCCCACCTGATGTTAAGTGACCACCTTGAGATATAAATTCTAAGGTTTCCGTATAGTTACAACGGCTACCCCACCCTTCAAACCGAAACGCATTACTGCTTCACGGCAAAAATAGGCGGTTTGGTGGTACCTACACGTGCGGACTCACAAGAGGTCCTACGACCAGTAATTACGAAAATTATAATTTATATTATTGATGGTTGTAGTTTATTTCGGTGTCAGTACAGGGTATTATTTCTTTACACCCTGTATAAAACTTCAACCACAACATTTAAAAAAATATAAAGATATCCAAAAACAAAGACAATGTATTTTTAAAGTCCCTTTAATGTACACGAATGTATAAATAGTAATACCATTTGATATAATAATAGGTAAAGATGTTCTAATACATATCATTTGACATTGAAGACACACACATAAAATGGTAAAAGCTAATTTTTCACATACTATTTATTCGTCTTTCACGAAAATCGTTCTTAAATATAAACAGGCTAAGTTATATAAGTTTCATATTGCACGGGTCGCGTTTCCGATCCGGTGGTAGATTCTGCGAAGCACGGCTCTTGCTAGGGTTCGTGTTAGCAACGTCATCAGGCTTGAGCCCCGTGAGCTCACCTACTAGTTAAGATGACGCTGATATAGCCTCTCAAGGCTATCAGCTTAGGTAGGAAAAAAAAAAGCCGCATGTTAGGGTTTCCTCCTGCGTTGTGGAACACTTAGAAAGCAAATTCCAAATATATTTAACTCCGATAGAGACTCAAGCCGGAATCCCATCTAACTTTGGTCTACCAAAAACTATGCCAACTTGGCGATCAAGATCGATTTAAAATAACATATCTGTGTACCAAAAAAAGTTAAGGATTTTGCAGATGATTGTAGAAGATCTCGGCAATTTCAATGAACCTGTTACATTTGTACCTATTTCATTTTGAACACGCGCTTACTAGCGGGCGCTAGGGCAATAATTACACACGCCCGCTACTTTTTTTATTGCTTAGATAGGTGGAAGAACTCACGACCCACTTTTACCGGTGGTAGGACCTCTTGTGAGTCCGCGCGGGTAGGTACCACCACCCTGCCTATTTCTGCCGTGAAGCAATAATGCATTTCGGTTTCAAGGGCGGGGCAGCCGTTGTAACCATACTGAGACCTTAGAACTTATATCTCAAGGTGGGTTGCACATTTTACGTCGTAGATATCTATGGGCTCCAGCAACCACAACACCAGGTGGGCTGTGAGCTCGTCCATCCATCTAATAAAAAAAAACTGTTGTGAGTGGTTACCGGAGCCCATAGACATCTACAGCGCAAATGCCGCCACCCTTCTCGAGATATGAGTTCTAAGGTCTCAGTTTTTACAGTACAACGGCTGCCCCGCCCTTCAAACCGAAACACATTACTGCTTCACGGCAGAAATAGGCAGGGAGGTGGTACCTACCCGTGCGGACTCACAAGACGTCCCACCACCAGTAATAACGCAAATTACAATTATAACACATGGGCTAGAGACGCTTTTGAGCATGGAAACATTCAAATATAAAATATAGTAATAACGTAATATAGTTGAATAGCCCGTTTATATTTATAAACTTGTAATAATAAACGATGTCAACAGCTGAGACGATAATGCATTTAAGTTTATTTGCATTAAATAAATTAGCGACAATCGGTCCAGACATTATGAGTCAATATTTTCAATTTCTACTGAGTGCGCACAATTCGTAAATACATGTAATTTAAATGAAACTACTTTTGGAGAAAAAGAGAGCTGTCTTTTGTTTTTTTATTTACAATAAATATCAGTGCATGTATATGGTCTGATTTGTATCTGTATCTATTTCTTTTCTTGTTATTTATCGCAATCTGCCGATGATCTCTGTAATATCTGTCTGTATCTTGCAATGAATAGCCACAATCTATTTCTAAACATTACAATCACGACACAGGACTAATTTTTATATATGGTTATCTATCCTGTTTTGGGAATTAACTGGTTAACTTATTTGCCTCTCGGTCAGTGATACTGACCCATCCCACTTTGACACACGAGGTCAATATTAATAGCTGCATAATTTTCCTTCAAACAACACACAAAATTACAAGTCTTAATGGAAAACGTAAGAGCTTCAGTGTGCTTAGTACGAGTTTTTTAACGTTCTCGATAGCGTAAAAGTTAACTCAATTTTGTATGCAGTTGGAACAGCGCCCCTAGCGGCAAACGTACGCAAACGATCCCATTCCATACAAATATGAGCTAACTTTTACGTTATCTAGAACGTTAAAAAACTTGCAGTAAGCACACTGTTCTTGTTTAATCCCTTCAATTATATTTTAGAGTAATCTATCTGTGAAGTGTGTCCCTCAACCGCCGCCACCGCTCTCGGCTGATGTAACATTGTGTGTAAAACTTTCTAAATATTTAAGGCAATTCCGATTTCGTTTGTCGACATTGAAGTAAAGCCCCAAAAAAAAAGCGCCCCTAGCGGCAAACGTACGCGAACGATCCCATTCCATACAAATATAAGCTAACTTTTACGCTATCGAGATGATATCGGCATCTCGTTTTTACCATCGCACCGCCCGCCACCGGAGTAGAGTTCATCCATACTACCTGGAGCCGCTGCGGTCATCGACAGTGCGTTTCCAGAGGTCTTTTTTGCCACGTACCATCCGGCTATGGAATGAGCTCCCCTCCACGGTGTTTCCCGAGCGCTATGACATGTCCTTCTTCAAACGAGGCTTGTGGAGAGTATTAAGCGGTAGGTAGCGGCTTGGCTCTGCCCCTGGCATTGCTGAAGTCCATGGGCGACGGTAACCACTTACCATCAGGTGGGCCGTATGCTAGTCTGCCTACAAGGGCAATAGAAAAAAAAAAAAAAACGTTATCTCGCACTAAGCACACTGAACTAATTGTCGCTAAAGTTTAAGTCCGGTTGTACTTCTTAAGACGTGTCAGAAATTTGTTCGAAGCACATCTACTGCGTTTTATTAGAACAATTATTTAAATCATTAGCAGGCAGCGGGCTGTAATAACAATAATTTCTTTAATTGCCTTCGACGCACGCTAAGTGCCTACTTTTTCCGACAAACGCGTCATATAATGTGCGACCCGGATTGACAG